CGCGATGCCAATTTGTCCTTTTTGCGACTGTTGGAATTCCCGACGATAGAGATCTGTCGCATAAGCATGGGCTAGCAAAGAATTGTGACCAACTCTGCACACCAACAGCGTCAGCTATGAATCCAAACACGGCGATAAGTCAACCTAGCATGGTGAGTATTTACCTTATGAGGTCTGCATTCGTCCAGTCTTTGATGTGATCCACCATCGAAATGGTAAAAATATAAGGCTAAGTCCAACTTGTCGTTAGAAACGAATCAGAAGACAACGTCTAGTGCGCCACGTACCTCGTTGATGGTCAGCCATCGTTTTACGCGGTCTCCATATTCAGAGAAGCAGATTCGAGCGTAGTCAACAAAGTCATCGATCAGTTGAGTAGGATCAATGGCAGCAAAACCACGATAGCGCTCTTGGAGCGCCTGAGGGGTGTCGTAATGAAAGAGCGTCACTGTTGGCTCAATCCCAGCATCCACAAGCGCATTAATCTGAGAACAGGGTTGGCTCAGCTGGCTAAGTGTATGATTTAGAATTCAACTTACCAGATTGTTGTAATAGTCGATACCCTCCTGATTCAGAGGGTCATTCTTTCCTCCTTGAATGGACTGTAAGCACAAGCCCTAGATGTGATTTAGCTACAGGAGATCTCTCACCAAGAGGCTTGATTCGTGTCCAAGATATGGAGAACCGATAGGATCGCGCGCCATACTGGCGAAGCAGCTCGACATCATCCCTCCACATGTGATAAGATTTACAAGCTACCTCGCCAGTATCGGGGAAGTCTTTGAGGCTGACGTCGAATATGCAGGGGCCTCGCCCACCCTCAGACGCCGCACCTTCGATTTGATAGGCCGCCGACCTAGATATTGAGAATTAGTCCAGCATAGTCATTATCGGGTGAACCAGGCGATGGGAGCGTACGCATATCCATGCAGGAAGTCTGACGGCAAGACTCCCTTGTATTTTGGATCCTCAGCAATAGTTTTAATCGCCATCTTCAAAGAGAGTATTCCAAAGCTGTAGCATTAACGGATTTCATCCAAAGGATACGAAGAAGAGGAAGACGATGAAAGCGAGAAATGGAAAGGGCTACGAAAGGGGATGGGGGGGATGAAGGAGAACGTTAGCGCTCCACTACGACACATTTCATATGCAGCCAAAATTCTTGTAGATCTTGGCTCTACGGGTCCATTCTAGGGGTCGGGCTCAATGAAATTCCCGGCTGTATCCAATGACCATATCAATCCTAGGATGGTCCAAACTGTCTAGTGTGTGGGATTGGTCCTATCACGAGGACAAGGAATTCCAATTTCCCTTTATCCAATGTGTCTATTAGTGCATATCTCTCTATCCCGCTCGCAAAACATTTGTCCTTGACTCGTTCGTGTGGGGAACCCGCCCGACGGCACCCGACGGGGTAATATCGAGCTGCAATGGCGAGTTCTTGGTTGTGAGGTGGGAACAGTTTCACGCCCTTAGCAGTTTGACAGGGATATGGAACTGTCTTGCTCGGTCAAGAGCAAGACTACTACCAGGATCCGGCGAATTAGCCTCCAAAATCTCAAGACTAGCATATCTGCCATTTAAACTGAGGCGCAACGCTCTCAAGGAATATCGGCTCGGTTAAGATGCCTAGGTGTTGCTCATGATAACACGGCCTAAACTGAGCCACCATTATCAAAGTATCAAAGCATTGAACCTTGTTGACTAGAAGACAGCAGGGGGGTTATCATAGACTCCGTCGGGACCCGTCGTGAGCCGACGGAGTGCGTCGGGATCCGTATGAGCTAACGAACAAACGGGCTACTAGCATAAGCCTACTCTCTTCTTAAGCTCTCTAAGCCCTGCGTGTCTGTTGAATATTCGGTCCAGGGTACGGATAAAACGATTTCCAGGTATTAAATACTTCTAGATGACTTTGACCCTGGTCCCGGTTCGTGCGATGTCACGCGAGACATGCAAGCTGTGCTCCAGCATCGCGGCCCAAGGGGGTGGCACCACGCACAAGACGGTCGTTATTCCAGTATTTCGGTTCCTTCTCATTTTGGGGGGGATTTAATTAGTAGTAGTTTATTAGGTCCAGCTAGTGGGGTTGAAGGTAATATTGGTAAATTACATGCTATCAACAATATTTTTGAACATGTTGTCAAGTTGTGAGAAATCGAGCTCCATCCCATTGGGCTCGAAAAAGTCCACTGGATTCTCAGATATTAACCTTGCCCCTCCTATCAGAGACGCGAATTCAGGGCTTTGAAAATTGTTATTGTATGCTGTTCCGTAGAAAGGGGCACTGGTGGTTGGGGAAGGATCTGGATTCGGAGTCAGCTCGGATAGCGGCAGACCACCTCCACGGGGTAAATGTTGTGGGTGGGTATTCTGATGGCTTTCGCCAAGATGTCCAGTTTTTAGGACTTCGATAATGCCCTGCCTTGTAAACGAGTGGCTGGGGGAATCTGCTGTCATTTGAAGCTCGATGGAACATAGATGCGAAATCAGCTTGGCGCCACGGACAGCAATTCCCGACTTATCTCGGACTTCAAATAACAAATTCACAAGAGCCGATAGTCGTTGTCGCTGTAGTGCGAGGTCGCTTTCATTGACTTGCTGCTTAGAGCTCAAAAGGAGGTCAAGAGATAAGACAATGCCTGCTGATACCAACCAAAGCGTTGTGTTCCAGAGGCGTATGAGCGCGGAGGGGAGGCCCTTCTGAGCAATGAAGAGAATCCTCTCGGCCGCATTCACGCATGCCGTTCGTGATTTCTCATAAGTCTTATCACGGAGTGATTTGACGAAGAAAGCGCGATGGATCAAATATGAACGATATGCAAGCATCATGGCCAAGTATTTAGATCCGAGCACGATGTTGGGTTGCCCTGGGGCGATGTCTTCCGTCGGTTCCTTCAATCTCTCTGGCAGTGAATCTGATAATGCATCAAGCCTCTCTGAAGCACGAAGAATCGCTTCGTATGACGGATGTTCATTTGGTCTTAGGTTGCCGTAGAGGTCATACATAATCTGAGATGAGTGGCAGCAAGTCAGGAGGAAGGAAAGGGAGTGAACATCCTTTGCACGAGATGCGAGAACACCTTCTTCATCTGTGAGATCGGGAAGGCTAGTATCGAACTGATGAGGCGCAACAGCTGGAAGAGGCTCAGGTCAGCAGAGAAAAAGAATGCATGAAAGGCCATGTCTCACAAGTGAATCTTTGGTATGGTAGAAAGTGCCACTCCCCTTCCACAATCTGCCACCAGGCTCTACGACCTAGGTCTCTTTTCAATATCATTTCTGGTGACCCTGAATTATCATTTCCAAGGAGATGTAGATTAGTTGACCTGCCGATACCGATTAAGAGTTGCATCATGGACCCATGTATTGGAGTATTCCCGGAAAGATTAAAGGCAGGGAAGAGAGTCAATATTGTATTGCACGCGGTGAGAGTAGGTTTAGTCAGGCCTTCACATCGGAAGAAAGTAGCCAGGGAGAGGTCGAACCATTTTTGCGCCAAGTTCTCCAGCTCGTCCGGGTTCGGCATGCCTGCGTACGTTTGGTAGTCTTCAAAGAAGAAAGCGGATACGCTCAGGACCGCAAACAGTAGAGCCAGGGTCATGCTGTCCTCGGCTTTGCCCTGGTCATGAAGTGACCAGAATGTAGCATGATGCCGATATAAAGTCCCACGATGAAGACAACCAAACATCCAATTCAAACGGTCACAGTAAGCTTCCAGAAGGATAGAAGATTGACGTCGCGTTGGTAGCTCATTTAGGCAGTCACTGAAAGCAACTGAAGAGAACCACGGGGTGTTGGAGACACTGGACTGGGCAGGATCCTCCATGAGGGCCTCGCCATGCCATCTTCGATTCTGACCAATCCCCAAAGCTGCTTCCTCCATGGCGCCGGCCAGTCCATTCTCCCGAAAGTCAATGCCATCATCGCTGTGTGAACTTGACTTCTCCTGGCGTCGGATACCAAGAGCTGATTCAATTTCGGCCAACCGATGCCGCACGGAAATCAATTCGTCCTGGACCTCTTGGAACGCCTGAGGCGTCACGCCAGTTTGCGTTGGTTCTGTCGTAATGGCAGCAGGAGAAGGCCGATGTGCAGGGGCTGACTGATTCCGAGGATAACATTGATCGCCTTGGCCTCTTTCCCTGCAGGCTCTGCAAGGGAATTTCTTATCGCATCGAATTTTGCGACGACTGCATTCTTTACAACTCAATGGGATCCGGTATCGTCCACTCAGCTTCATCCTTGCCTGCTCCTCAGGCTCCCTGAGTTGGGCGTCAGGCGACTGAGATAAAGGTTTGGTGGCGGACATGTCCGAGGCAAATGCATTGATGCCTCGTGAATAGCTTCATAGGGCTCGACGGCGACGACAACGGCACTAAGCAAAGCAAAATTAGATGCACTTGGCCTGCTTGTTGATGAAGCGGCCATGTCTCAAGCCGGAATCTGATCGGTTGAGACTTGGAAAGGGTAGACGGAGTATTAGAAGGCCCGATCTCCGTTTGAAGTCGCTTATTAAGCTGAACGAATCGCAACCGCCTTACCCTATATACATTCTCCTTTGACAAAGGCTCGAGCAAAGAGAGACTCATATGTGAGATTTAAGGCTTGAGAATTATGGGCTTAAACGTAAAAATATGAGTGAAACGGTTTACCTAAATTTTGCATTTTCATAGGACGAGGTTGGCCTGCCCAAGTTCGTTTTGTTGATTTCCGATCTTTCTTATCATCTGTTCTGGTATCACGACATTTGTTAGTGAAAATGAATGCACGTACACATGCCGAAAACGAAAACGATTCCCTGATTCTATACGTTTTTACATCAATCATCCAGTGTTAGATAATATTGTTCAGTAGATAGGTATACTTGCCCAAAAAGCACCAGCAAACTTACATAATAAGCCGGTTGGCACAGACACCAAAGGACAAAGGACTATGAATTGCCAATTTGAAACTCCAACTCCACAAAAATGGTGAAACAAAAGAAAAGAGCATCCAAAATGGCGCAACCTCGTCCATTCGCATCAAAGGAGTCGTCAGTCTGTGAACAATGTGTATCCATCTTCCAAGAAAAATGCTTAATCTACACCGCTGACGACCAAAATGCGTGGCCTCTGCCAGTTCACCATCAGAGCCTCGAGTCCTTCGAGGCCGCGGTACAATCTGGTTGTGTCCTCTGCCACCGTATGTGGAATGAAATTCACAGACAAGGCCGTGGAGAATTGATTACACTAGAGCGAGCTACAGTATTTTCTCGCTACGCACTAAGAAAATTCCAAGATGATGACCGCGCGGACTATTGGCTCACGCTTGTCGTTCTTCATCCGAGCTTGAGACCGGAAGCGGATGGTTTTAGTGTTGAGCATGGTGTGATATCTTTAAACCGTAGGTATGCTTTCCGCATGTTACGAATATGATCAGCTGATGAAGTATTATTTAAATTGGATTCCTAGGGTATGACGGACCTACACAATCTTTGGAGCACGAGCCGAGTACAATGTCTGAAACTACTTGGGGTCAAGCTCTTAAATGGAACCGGGAATGCCGCTCTCATCACACCGTTTGCAAATCATATCGGGACCCTTCTTATCTCCCGACTCGAGTGCTTGACATTTCTGGGAACCAGAACGATGATATCAAGCTGGCAGTCACTCAGAATTGCATGAAAGCCCTAGGCGACAATAAGAGCGAGCACGAGTTCGCGACCCTCAGTCATTGCTGGGGCCGTAATCCCATCATCACCCTCCGCCAAGACAACATCAGTCAGTTTCAACATTCCATCACGATGACTGCACTCCCCCTAGTCTTCCAGCAAGCCATCTACGTTGCGCGGAAGCTCGGATTCGCGTACCTCTGGATTGATTCTCTCTGCATCATCCAAGACTCAGAAGAAGACTGGCGGCATGAATCTGCTCTCATGGGAAAGGTTTACAGCAACAGCTCCCTCAACATCATGGCCACAGATAGTAAAGACGGCACTCAGGGCTTATTCAGGGATAGAAATCCTCTCGACCTACAACACTGCGTCGTGCGAGCCGGGTGGACAGGCATCGCACCTGAATCCTTCTACATTTACGACTGGATGACGTGGGATAATCCAATAGTCAGGGCACCGTTAAACGGCCGCGGGTGGGTTTTACAAGAACGAATCCTGTCGCCGCGAGTACTGCATTTTTCGCACAACCAGCTGGCCTGGGAATGCCACGAGAAGGACGCATGCGAGATGTACCCCGATGGCATACCGACGATATTTGTAAACTTTGATACCCAAGTGAAAATCATGGACCCAGAGGCGTACTTGAAATGGGTCAACAGCTGGCGGCAACTCCATTTCAAACCGACCATAGATGTTGGATACGCCATATGGAAACGTTTAGTACATTTATACAGCCAAACGCGTGTAACAAAAGCATCCGACAAGCTCATAGCTATCAGCGGTCTCGCCAACCGAATGCGTGCCGTTATGCAAAATGATGAGAAGTACCTCGCTGGGCTGTGGTCCCATCACCTGACCAGCCAGCTTCTCTGGCGGGTTGCACCCAATGCGCTCGGTTCACGCATCCCGCGATGGAGGAGACCATACCGCGCGCCCTCGTGGTCGTGGGCGTCATTGGAAACCGAGGTATACATGTCGATGGAGGAGTCCAGTGCGCCCCGGTCAGCTTATATTGATATCGAAGAGGCGAGCGTGACACCTCTCTCGTTATTGAGCGATACAGGAGAAGTGGTAGATGGCCATATTCGGCTCCGTGGATCTTTGATGCGGGCCAAGCTTGTCAGCTCAAGCGAGGAGGGATCGCGTAAAATGGACCTGTGGGTGAATGAAATGAAGACCGACTCGGCTATCTCTCTCGATGAAGTTTCACTTGAGGACACTTACTCAGTGGTGTACTTACCTGTGGCAGGGGAGTATAATCCGGATAGTGACAGCCAGGCTGTCATAGGGATTCGTGCTTTACTGTTAGTCCCCGTCGAAGGCAAGCCTCAAGGGTGGTACTCGAGGTTTGGGTTTGTCGATACGTGGCACGACAGTGAAGATCCTGAGCCGATGAACCACTTGATTCGTGTAATGGAGGATCGTACCTTTAGTAACGAGAGCCTCTATCTCGAGAGAGTGCCGAGGACTATTATGTTTGTATAGTCCTATTATCCAAAAAAATAAAATAAAAAAGTTTAGGAGTTACGAATGTTAAACTGATGAAGTTGGAGCCCTGTCCAGCGACTGAGTGTTCGCCCCTCAGAATTTGCAGCACTGCTTGGATTGCAATTGGGACGAGGATCAACATCCAAAGCGGTGAGATGGCCGAGTTGGTTATGGCGTCAGGTTAAGGCTACCTTAGCATTCATTCCTGGTGGAGCAATCCTCCTGGGTTCGAGCCCCAGTCTCATCATTTCTTTTGCACTTTTTGTCTCCATATCCTTTTTGCCAATCCCGTTCTCTTCTAGTGAGAGTTTGAGTATAAAGTAAAAAACAGCAATAGAAGATGCTAGACTCGACATTTCAACTGTTGCATCATTTCGCCTTGTTTTTATGTCCATATAGTAGCAACTCATATGTCTGTCCTGTGGATGTTGAACCTCTTGTGCGAACGTCAAGCTCAGTATTATTGGACGGCTATTTAGAGGGCACTGCTTATCTTGGCATGCTTTTCGTTGACTAGCACATATCTGAACCGAGCCTTGCCAGCCTCAAAGTCTATAATGGCCTGATTAGCATCGCTCAGGGGACGCGTTTCAACCCAAGGCTTAATGTTCTTGCTAGACGCAAGTGCCAACATTTCATTGATGTCGTTGATACCGCCAATGGCGCTTCCAGTGACCTTGATCTCGCTGTTAATAAGTCGAAATGCGTTGATTGGGGGCAGAAGGCCTTTGTCCGGCGCTCTAGAAAATAGTGTAAGTAGCAACTCCTCAGCGGAAAATAACAGAACAAGAACTTACCCGACCTGCACGAAAGTTCCGCCTATGTCCAACAGCTTAAGGTAACCCCCCAGCGGGATCTTGTCGCTCGACACAGTGGAAATAATCAGGTCCAGGCTTTCGGCGTTCTTCTTAACCCAGCCCTGGTCATCATCTGTCGCGATGTAGTCATCTGCACCAAGTTGCAATACCTGATCCCGCTTTGATGCCTTGCGGGAGATGCCCACTACATGATCTGCCCCTAGGGCTTTGGCAAACAGAACCCCGAAGTGGCCCAGTCCACCTACCCCTACGATGCCAACTCGTTTGCCCGGGCCGCAGCCATGGGCCCGGAGGGGTCTGAATACCGTGACGCCTGCGCAGAGCATTGGGGCTGCATCCTCTGAAGCCAAGCCTGGAGGGATCTTGACGACAAAATGGCCGGGTGCCCTGTTGTAGTCCGCATACCCACCATAGGATTTACCCTGATTATTGGGGTATCGGGAGCCGTATGTATTTACCTAAGCCTGGTATTAGATGGTTTAAGGGGAATTCTCAGGAAGCGGCGCTCTGGACTGACATTAACTCGGCGGCATATGTTCTCGTTGCCATTGGAGCACTGCCTACAATCAGGCTGAAGACAGCTGAGTGATTGTGCTCCGACGCCCACCCGATCACCGACCTGCAGATGCTTCACATTGCTTCCAACACGCACCGCTTTGCCGACAATCTCATGGCCCACGCAACAAGCTAGAGAATACGCGTGTCAGCCTGTCCTGTATCTTACGCACAGAGAAAGGTTCCTTACGGTAATCGCTCTTGCCCCAACCTGAGCTGAGAGTACTGGAGTGCAATCATGTGTTAGCTCCGAGATCAAAATGCCATATGATTCTGCCGAGATGGACTCACTGCAGGTCAGAGCCACACATGCCGCAGTGGGTGATTTGGATATCGACATCGTTCTCTGTCCACTTCTTGGGCTCAAAACGACCCCATTCCATCTTGCCATTTACGCTGTCGGGATCATGGCCCAGCCAGCCCTCGAATTCGTATGCAGTCATCGTTGATTGCGGCAAGTAGGCTAGTAAATCGCAATGCTATAATGGGCTTGGGGAGAGGGTACTCGCTCTCGTATGTCTGGTATGTAACAGGTTTCCTTTGACTCTCAAATGGGGGCCAACCCAAATCCTTTACCCCAAATGCCCCCTGTTTATTTCTGCCGCTATAATGGCAATGGCCGAGTCATGACCCACACGGGTTAATAGCGCTCTCGTGTCCCCTAAATACGCCTGATCTTTAGCATGTCGCGCTGGGGTTAGATTGGGATCAGAGAGGTCTCGAGGGTGATGATGGAATCTGACATATGATGAGTTCCCAGCGTGGCATCTTCAGCCTACGATCTAGGTTCCTGGCCCCCAAGTTACATAGCAGTTGCTCAGAGCGGATGTATCCCAACGGCCCACACGAGGATGAGCAAATGAGGGGCACTGGCAATGACTGAAACGTGATGGAGGTTCAGCCGAGGCTCTCTGCCTGGCCCCTCGGCAGAGAGAGGCGCTTTGAGAAACCCCCTTAGGCGGGCCACTTCCCAACGCTAGGGAGCAAGCATTGGAGCTAGACTGACCAGATTCACAGAATATTCTTTTTTGTTTACTATGGTACAATACTGCGTGATTCCGTGATGGAGGTACCATTGATGTAGGGTTAAAGCTATTAAAGCAGGCAATTGAACTACATCTCGCTTTCCACGCAGCTCATATACCCATGACCTCTCCCATCGGTGAGCCCTCGCTTGAGATTGAGGGGCTGTACTCGCTCTTATTAGACTCCCAGTCTTCGTTGTCCTCATCCACGAACTCGGAGTACACGATTTTCCGACCAACAACCCGTTCGTTTGTTTCCACGCAATTGCTGCTCATGATGCTCTCGGAGTCGTCCACGACGTCCATCTCCTCATCATCAGAGTCTTCCGCTTCTTCCATTTCGTCACCTGCGCCTCCGTCCTCCTCGTCAATCTCGCTCTCTTCTTTCAAGCTAGTCTCATGCTCTCTGTCCGCAGTAGGGCCTTCCCTTTCTCCTGCATCATCGTCATCCAGCATTTCGGTATCCTCGGCATCACTTAATTCGCTCCTTGGGCCCCCTTCGCGATTCCCAGTATCAGAGTCTTCGTCTACCTCCATTCCCTCAGCTTCGGCCCCTTCATCCACTTCACTGGCTCCACTATTGTAAGGAGCGTACCGTCCTCTTCTTTTCTTCTGCGCCCTGGCACGGGTACGTGGCCGCATAGCTTCATCATATCGAGATATCTCGACGTCTTCGACATCATCCACTGCATTTTCAATACTCCGCCGGTCGTCTGCTGCGCTACCCTCGCCGAACTCGTAGTCGTGCTCTTCTGCCATGTCGAAATCCTCACTCTCCTCGGAATCCTCCCGGCAAGGCGCGCCCATCAAGTCATCTTCAGTGAATATCGCAATTCTTTTGAACAACAACTCCCCCCACTCAAAAGAATTCTCGCGCTGCCCACCTGCCTGGTCCTGTGATCCGTGGCGGTTCAAATAGTCGACGACATGAGATTCGGGAACCCAGTCTTGATTCTGCGTGGCGCCCATCAAGCGGCAGGATTCTAATTGAAGGTTAGGGACATATTCCCTGATCCAGTTGAGCGATCCCAGGGATAACGCGGAACTGTCCAAGCCGATGTGTCGAAGTGTTTTAGCGTTTCTTTGCAAAACCGGGATCAGCTCATCACAGGTGACTGCCGGGGTAGAGTGAAGATGTAGGGAGACTAGTCGTGTGGATCGGATGCATGGTAAGTAAAAGCTATCAACAAGATTGCTGTCTACAACAAGATGAGTCAGATCAGTCGCAGTCTCCAGGAGTGAGTTGATAGTTTCGTAAACATCGGGGTTATCAAGTTGGATTCTTCGAGGGAAGTAAAATGACAGCTCCAGTTTTTGAAGATGCTCAAAGACCTCAGGGCAGGGTATAGGGCGAAAACAGCTGTAGTACTGATATTCATCTTGCCAAAGAAGTCGAGTGATACGGATTCCGAGTCTTTCAATAGCGGGAAAGAGGAATAGAAAGAGTCCATCGTTCGCCGTTGGTATGGGACCGTCTTTCTCATCCCAGGATGTATGGTGTGCCTGAAAGTGTACAGCCTGTAATTCATATCCTCCGGAGCACACAACTCGGTCAGGATCCATTGGTCTTGATAGCGCACCTGTTAAGTAGGGGAGGCGGCCGAGCCCGTCTTCGAAGCGTGGCCGAAAGGACGCAATAGCATCTTCCCGTACGGAGTTGAAGATTTCTGGATCAAATTCAATTAGGCGCTCACCAAACTGACCTGATGTTGTCCTGATTGTGTTGATCTCCTCTTGGGAAAATCCGGAGTCGCGCATTTCTGCGCAGGTAGTTGGATATTTCGAGGATGAAAAATCAGGGATAGTGGAGAGCCAAAAGAGATTTTTGATGGACTCGTCCAGTTGGAATGCCAGTTGAGCGCCTTGATCTCCAGCTCGTAGCATACCAGATAGATCTGGAGTCCTACTACCGGAATTGAGATGATACCAACACCAAAGCCAACTCAGCAACTTCTCCTTGCCTGACTTAAAGGCGACAAGGGAGAAAAATCCAGGATGCCATGAGATTTCCTGCCATTCAACCTCCCGCACATATTGTACTAAATGGGGCGTATGGCAAATAGAAAGAAATTTTTCACGATCCAGGCGCAGCTGAGAGATCGTGATGCGCCGAAACAGGCTCGGGAGTGCATGGCTTCGCAAGGTGCTGCAAGTCAGGCTGATGGCCTTCCTGTCCTGAGTGTCCAAGTCTGCGTGTTCTACAATTCTTCGAAGGACTTCTTGAGGGAGTCCTTCCAGAGAACGTGTGTACGGTCTGATGTGTAGAAGAGTGAAGGACCGGGCGAAGATATCCATGCTGCAATGTACCAAACGATTATGCAATATGGAAAGAACTTTTTCTGAGCGGAGTTGACCTTTCTTAAGTCGGACGATGTGCTAGAGTCAAGATGTTGAGAAGGAATTTGTAGAATCAGAGAATCAGGAGACCAGTGATAAGTAAGTTAGACAATTTGCTATCGTTCCAATATAAGTGAAGTTCCTTCTCTTGATCTACAGTTCGAATTCAGGGTTTCTTTGTTGAACAAGCTCCACCCACTTGTTGACTATCAGTCGTGCTTTGCTCATTAGAAACTCTTCGGGGCTTGACAAAGAAAAGCACGCTTACTTGCAAGAAGAGTGAAATAAATATAAAAAAGTAACGGCATATTCAGAGACGGAAGAGAGTTTGAGTATAAAGTTAAACAACAATGGAAGATGCCAGACCCGACATCTCAACACAATGATATCCAGAGACAATAATCCTTTTGAGGCTTGGTGAATACCTAAGAGAAAGAGAATAAAGTTCAACAGCAATGGAAGCTGCCAGAGCCCGACAACTCAACACAAGAGGCTTGGTGAATACATTGTTAGAAAGTGTTACAAAGAGTATTTTAATGCCCACCTGTTGGTAATGTAACCCATTCAAATACCTCCATCGAACAAACCAGCTGCTATTACTCTCGGCTAGAGTTAGGAACATTAGATTAGAATCGGAGATTGCAGCAAAATGAGCCAGAGAAACCCCTAATAACATCGTAGCAGAGCTCGCATTATTTTTTTCATATATAACTTAATTTCAAAAATTTCTTGTAGCATGATCTGGCCACCTGCATCGGGGTAAATCGAGAGGTCCAAAACGAGCCCTTAAAAGTGAATGGCATTCTAGACTCAAAAGGCACAAGCTGAGTGCTTTACGCAATGATGTACATTGTGACCAATTTTCATTGTGTTGAGGAGTCGGGTCTGGCATCTTCTATTGTTGTTTTTACTGTGAGTCAAGCTACTCGAACTCTCACACGCATGTACTACTACCAAAGAGGTGAGATCAAAACTCCATTCGTATTGCGTATCGTATTTGAATGTCATTCGATGTAAATAAGGAGCAGCGAGCCTAAACCGTCTCCTTTTGAATCACGCCGTTGCCACCACCGTGTTGGATCCCAAGTGAGTGGGATAATGGAATTAGATGAGGGCATTTGACAGACGTTTACTAACCCAAGGGACAGATTTAGTGCCTGTCTGGAAAGATGGATGATGCCGTCTGTTACTCCCCAAAACCCCTCATCAAGGGTGGAGTTCGGCGATCACGCAATTTCGGACCAATACTCTGGTGTCCTCTAATTATGATATTCTGGGGCCGCCAACATCTTCCAAGGCCATGAATTATTTCACCTTTTGAATCCATCCAATTCTGCGACCCTAGACGTTGAGCGAGCGCCGACCAACAGCTCAAAGCCATCCCACTATCCACACCGGGCGAATACCAACTCACCAAAATAACCAGAACCTACCGTTGATTTCTACACATATCGGCGCCATAAATGAAGGATGAGAATTCAAATCGGGTTGAATCAATTGCCGGCGGCACCACATCCGGATGAGCCCGACTTCAACGATACAGAGGACTTCGAGAATGCTTCCCGGGGGTTCGTAGCAAAACTGGAACCATGCATTATTAGAGATCCCAAGGGCCACGTCGTGTGGGACAATGACGCCTATGATTTCGTCAAAGAGCAATGCCCAAATACCGTCAATCCAAAGCTCTGGAGGCAGGCTCAGCTCACAGCCATCCAAGGCCTGTACGAGGTTTCACCAGCCGTGTACCAGGTCCGCGGGTTTGACATATCTAATATGTCGATAGTCGAAGGCCACAGTGGTATCATCATCATTGATCCACTGACGTCCATGGAGTGCGCTCAGGAAGCCTTGAAGTTTTACCGCACCCATCGCGGGAACCGTCCAGTTACGGCCGTGATTTATTCTCACTCTCACGCGGACCATTACGGCGGCGCACTCTGCGTTCTGCCAAAGGACACTGGCAGTATTCCCATTATTGCGCCGGAAGGCTTCATGAAGGAAGTAACATCGGAGCACGTCCTCGCTGGACCATCGATGCTCCGACGAGCAGCTTTCATGTATGGCACTCGACTTCCAAAGCATCCACGAGGGCAAGTAGGCACCGGCCTAGGGATGGGTGCGTCGGCCGGGACCACGTCCATAATCCCTCCAAACACCTTGGTGACCAAGACTGGGCAAGAGCTTGTGATTGATGGAGTGAAATTCGTCTTCCAGCTTGTTCCTGGGACGGAAGCGCCCGCCGAGCTGAATTTCTTCCTTCCTGACCACGAGGCGTTATATATTTCTGAGTGCGCGACACACTGCCTGCACAATATCGTAACCCTCCGCGGTGCATCCGTCCGAGACGCCAGAGCTTGGTCGCAATATCTAGACGAGACAATCGAGCTATACGGAGAACGCTCAAAGGTGCTCTTTGCCGGGCATCACTGGCCAACGTGGGGAGAGGACAAGATCAGGAAATTGGTCTTGGAGCAACGGGATATGTACGCCTTCCTTCACGACCAAACTGTCAGGCTGATGAACAAGGGCTTGACCGGGACAGAGATCGCCGAGATAATGATCCTCCCTCCGAAATTACGAAGAGCATGGCACGCCCAAGGTTACTATGGTTCCGTTAGCCACAACGTCAAAGGGATCTATCAGAGGTATATGACTTGGTTTGATGGTAATCCGGCCCATCTGTGGCCTCATACCCCTTCTGAAGAAGGGAAAAGATATATCAGATGCTTTGGTGGCGTTGACGAGCTAGTATCGAAGGCTCGGGTGTTCATCGAGGAGGGAGACCTGAGATTTGCCGCCACACTGCTGGACCACGCTGTCTCTGCAGAGCCTGAGAATAGACTGGCCGCGGAAACGTTGGCCTGGGTCTTTGAGAAGATGGGATTTGCAGCTGAGAATGCTACTTGGCGCAACTTCTTCCTCACGCGCACGATGGACTTGCGAAACAAGGGTAAATCTCGCCAGGCCATGGACACAACAACGGCCAGTGTGACATTAAATCCTGATGCGAGCATTGAGGACTGGCTTGACGCAATCGCCATTTCTGTAGATGGACTCAAGGCTGCGGAGGAGTTTGAAGAGTCACAGAGCATCCTGGTGCGTGTTCTTGAGTTGGAGAGCAGATGGAAAATCACTCTCAGTAATGGCGCGATGACGTACCGATCATTTTCCAAAACTGAGGAGCAGCAGGTGGATGACTTTGGAAAAACAAGGCCTGCAATTGCCATTGACACTAAGAAACAACTTTATGAACTACTTAGTAGAAACGCCAGCTTGTCGCAGTTCACATGTGGAGGACCTAGAGATAGTCTCTTCCTCCAGCGGCTGCTGGAGCTGAGTGCTATCACTGTGTGACACCAATACCTGAGAACCAACCATTGGACAATTTTCGTATGATTAATAAATAACTGTTTGAGTTATCTACCGTCCTCAAAATCAGAAACCGCAACAATCGTAGCCAGAATCTATTCGGTCCAAAAGTATATACTTGGTGCTTTCTCAGGGACGGACAAGCTGGCACTGGGCTGGTGCCTGGTCCGCATGCAGGCCAACGGGTCGGATTAGCCCAGGGATTGGTGCACGAAGTTCAGGGGGGCGACTGCCGAATGCATAACAGGGACATGCCTAATTTATCTACAGGTGGACAGGCTACTCGCTTCCTTGCGCTCTTGTGCATCCTACTTCGCGGCGATGGCTGTTAGCTTCCGGCCTGCCCTGCCTCTCTCGCTGGATGTTACTATTATTATAAGCTGTGCTTATAGAGAATTGGGGCTAAATTAAAAGTAAATAATGGTTTTCTCATGTCTCTTATATACGGATAGGCCTGCTTTGCTTCAGAGTTAGCAGGCTTCCTATGTATGACTCTTGATTAATTTCCCTCCCTTGTTCTATTCCTGACGAGGAAACTCTTGGGCCACTCTTCTTATCTGCAATATCTGCAGCGGCTACGAGCAGCGGCAGCAGGAAACTTTCGTTTTGTCGTGCTCTATCAGTAGTAATCCGCTTATCACTTAGGCACGCCCTGACCTTTTCCTCGTCCGATAGGGGTAAAGCCTTTTCAGTAGACTTGAACTTATATTTCTTGCCTCTCCGATGTATGCATTTATATACCTTAGTATTATAACTCTGATAGATATTAAGATCGTTCTTCTTAAGAATTTTCTAGTTCTTCTTGAAGTTCTTATTGCTTCGGTCTCTTTTAGCCCCTTGGGTGTGCTTACTAACTTCTATCGTGAAAGGTTAAAGAGGCAAGGACTATAATTAGGCTTGAGGGCTGGGTATAAACAATAGGTTTCTCTTATTATTGTAAAATTTAGTAGATGCTATATTGGTGTTGTTCGTTAATAGTTTTGTGTATCTAGGGACCTGTTTTGGTCCCCTGGAGCCTGGCTTTTCGCTCCCTGGCCAGATGCTCCGCACGCGTAGCCAAGACCTGCCTGGGAATAAAACGCAAGGCTACTTCATCTTTAAGTTTAGGTGTATCCAAAACCCGTTCATTCTCTGAGCTCGGTGTAAATAATTCTAGGCAAGTCCGCTCGAGCACAGTGCGCCCATGGCCTGGAGGGCGCAAAAGGTGCATCCCGGATGTGCCGTTGGGTTGGATGAGTGTGCATCTGTCCCCGTGTAGGGGCAGTCAGATCAGCCCGACCCTTTAGCGGAAGAGAGTTCGAGTATAAAGTTCAACAATAATGGAAGATGCCAGACCCGACATCTCAGCACAATGAATAAGGGCCCTTTAGCGCACGGGGTTCCTGAGCTAATTTAGTACACTCTGACTTTCCCGTCAAAGCCCCGGCTTCAATATGGCGGTTCTCTAGGACAAGAGTGTCATCAAGCTAGGTGTGGGGAAGCGTTTAGCGCCAGAGCCGAAGGAGCTATCCCATGTTCAGGTGCTAGCCCAAATTCTGTGGCTGGTCACCCGTTTCAACGGCGGCCCAGAGCAATCGAAGACCCTGCCATGAGGGGTGCAAGTTCTACGTTCATCCGGCGAGCTGAGAGAGCAAACGTACGGGGGCTGTATGAATCTCCCGAAGTATGTATATATAAAGATCTAGCTTGGCTCTTGAAATTTACTCCCTGGACCTCAACTCTCTCTGATACAATCCATCTTCCCCTCTCTGATCTAAACCCCCCCCTCTAAACTGACCTGACATCCTCTAGGTCCCGTTTACCTGCTAGTTCATAAGCCTTAGTAGTTGTTGTATCGGCTTCGGATGTAGTAGGAGCGCTTCCCCTGTTTGGATGGTGCCTTCTTGGATGGTGCCTTCTTGGGTGGTGCCTTCTTGGGTGGTGCCTTCTTGGGTGGTGCCGAATTTACACCGGTGGCCGGAGCAGGAGACGGAGACCTCGAGTTGGCATTCTGACGCATAAGTGACTGCATCTCCGCAACCATGGCATGCCCTTCATTTGCGTTTGATGCGTCTCTAGTCGGATTGATAATGAGCATTGGAGGAACGCCTCTGCCTCGAGAATCTGTTTTCACATGGGCCTGGTATCTGCCCTGAGACCAGGTACCCATACCTGCGACCACGGAGTCGGCCCGAGAGTCAGCAATTTCTACCAACTTGCTTGTCCTTTGGCCCATTGTTTTGCCCCATTTAGCAGCGACCTGGACACGCATAGCCGAGATGCTGGCAGCCATCAAGATGAAGACCAAGAAGAGAGGTTGGAGAGTCATTTTCATCTTGCTAGGGTGTAAAACGCCTCCATTGCGTTAAGTTAGCTCCTGTGTCTATGAAAAGAGTCTGAATTGAGAGAAAATAAACTAACGGAGTTGTAAGGGTAGTAGAGTAGATTGGTATGTTGTCTAGTAGGCTGTTTTAATGGTTGTTGAATTCAAAGTAGCTGTCGAGAAAGGGACGTCCAAGGCGGTCTTTTATGATTCTTGCTAGGCATATATTTCTCTCATCCAAAATCAACCAACAAATCTTTGGTAGTTTACAATCTAAACTTAGAAGTTGGCTCTCCTAGCTTGCATAGTGAATAGCCAATCGGGCACGAATTTGCGAGGTAACTCCTCATGTAATGCTTCTGTCCTTGCGTGGAGGACCGCCAACGAGCGGCGCAGATGAGCGTTAAAATCAATCATATGATTAATAGTCGTGCGCGTTTCATCGAAACTGGAGCTTTTTATGCTGTTGGCTCTTCAGTTGGGAGTAAGCCACACAGCCTTGCAGGGGGCCTGCACGGTCTAGAATTATTGGCGCAGTGGATATACATATGATCATGGTGGCATTAATGAAGGAAAAAAAATAAGTAGTATTCATTCCCTCCCTTATAATAATTTTCTAGAATTCAACTACTCTAAAACCATTTACATATGTGCATATGTTGTTATGTAGCTATGACGGTGGTAACTGAATGCAGGATAAACCCAAAATTCAAACGGGATGTGCCAAGAATAGATAATTTGTTTTATCATGTCATTCATTTCCTCTGTCCCATCATTGTTTGTATGTTGGCTTAGGCAGGTACTAATGTTATGCCGTTGGTTGATGTCGGCTGACTGAAAGTGACCCCACCTCCTTTGTAGGATGGGGGACAATTCGCGTTCAAGTGGAGTCCTCTACTAAGACTGGATTGCTGTTGGTGCTCTGGCTAATTTGTCATTGCCCAGCTGACACATTTGTTCGCCTAATGCATTAACTCAACAAATATAGGCCCTTGCCTCTTGTGCGGGAACCAGAGCGGGGAAAGCATGATCATGATGAGTATATAATCACTGTCATTTCATTTAGGCCTCGACTCAGTTTCTTCCAACACTCCGCGTCATCCGTCCATTTTCAACACGCCAGCTATTTCCATCTCAAGATAATGTCAGCTAGCGACCCCCATCCTACTTTCCATCTTTTCCCCAACCTTCCTCCTGAGCTTCGCAATCAGATATGGCTCAATGTATTGCCGACCCTTAAGCCGTCCATTCATTTTTACCACAGGGGTTGCTGGCGTCTTCAGCCACTTGATCCATCCGAGGAGGGGTATAACCCAGCCGATCCAGGTCCCCAGATTTGCTTTCGACCTGAGCTAGTCAAAAAGACGTGGCTTGAAGTCCCCTTGGTGTATGTAAATTATGAAGCACGGCAAGCTACACTGAAATGGGCAGAGCAACATGGATTACCATTCTGCTCCCTCCCAAACACAGAGCGCTTAGTGTTTCTACGCTCCTTCAATAATAAGACGGATGCGCTTGGCGTTCCATTTGAACAGTGGGAAAATCTTGTTTTCGAGCTTAGCGATCGTATGTCAGAGCCTGATCTTATTAATCAGGCTGTGACCCCGATCGCACCTATCAAGCATTTTATTATATCAGAACGGATGCTTAAAAGTTGTGTCTCTGAGATCGATACCTTACTTTCTGTCCATTATGGGGCGGTAACACTCTACATTATTGAGGATGAAATAGTGCCGGAATTGGAAACAGAAAGTGAGCCTACAGGGTTATTGCAATCATGGGAGTATGAACCTTCTGGAGGGAAGAGCTGGAGATGGGACCAAGAACAATGCAGATTTGAGGTCCAGGGAAATAATCAACTTCGAAGCCCAACATTATATAAGCTGATGGAGGAGGCTTCTAGGGTGGTTGCTGGGACTTTTTCTCCTTTTCCTACCTCTAAAGGACTCTTTTCTATTGTTCCAGTAAATGTGTCTAGGACATAGAGTTTATACCAAATACATTAGGAATTACAAATTGCCTGGCACTGGTACCCAAAGCTTACCATTTAACAGCGTCCAACTAACTGTTGGTGTTTTCCTTGACAGAATTTGCCATGTTTGATGCAAGAATAGTCCGGCATCAGAAGGACGGCGGTCTATTTTACCTACGTGCAGCGTAATCTCCCATTCAAACTCTACCATAAGCCACGTTCACATATCCAGAAACGCCCTCTCAGCGTACGCCTTGCACACTCTCTTTGAACACTTGCGAGCTTATGGTAGCCGTCGTTTACCGTCAACTCGGCGACCCGTCTCACGAGACTGTATGCCCGCCCACTCAGCGGTCACCTTTAGAGTCTAGATCGTTCTTCGACCCGCTTTAGTGAGACGTGGAAAGCGATCATGACTTCAATGATATTGTAGCGTTGCTGGCAAGGCGACCTGCAAGGCGACCTGCAAGGCGACCGGCAAGGCAATCTGCCCATGCTGACTTCGTTTGCATGACTCTATCCTGAGATCTGGCGTGCTTCATTCCGCTCAATTATCCACAGCACATGCTATCGTACCCCACCACTTACTGCTTCTTTACACTACATTCCTGGTCAAACGCCGAGGACATAAGAAGGAGCATTTCCTCGTCGACTGTAGTAGTAGTACAGCTTTGGTGCATTCATATCGCGCGTTCCAACCATGTGAGCCACCCGATTCAGGTATTCCTTGCTCCTTTGAGCTTGACCCTAACATAACAAATACAGGAAAACAACGTCGTTCACCAGTCCCGCCCCGGAGACAAATAACTTGGCCTACAGTCAAGACTCCATTGTGCCACGACTCCTCAATGTTCAGGAGCACGCGGAAGAGATCCCAAAAATGTGGAAGTATATCAGACATTTAGAGGTGCTCTGCCCGCCGTCCGACCCTGCGATGCGCTTAGATTGGCCACAAGGAAGGGTGCCGCTCCGACGCCATTGGATCAATGCTCGGAAGGAGAAGCGATTTGTTGCTTTGTCGTATACCTGGGAGGAATCCGACGACGAGGACAAGACTCATGAACGATATGCGGTCCAGGCCAGGGATAAGGCAAGATACTTCCCATGCAAGGTTCGAGACTGTGTCTTTGAACGTATCCTTGAGTATATGCGCGTTCACGACATATTCTATTTATGGATCGATCGATACTGCATCGCGCAACGAGCTTGCAAGGCCCACCATTGCAAACATAAAAAGTGCGCTACAAAACGCAAGGCTCTTCACGCCTCAGACCTCGTCTACGGTAATTCCCAATTCCCTGTTGCCTTGCTTGGCAGAGAAATGAATCAAATACAAGATGTGCGGCTTTTGGCGAAGATCATGGGAGGACGGCTTGTGGTTGGCGGAATCGACGGCGCCCGACTTTCCAGGAAGACGTCTCGGGAAGAGGTACGAGGCGCTCTGGCCTTACTTGATGCTATCACCAGTGACAAGTGGTGGACGAGAGCTTGGACGTTCCAGGAGAACTACCGTGGAGGCACAAGAATGACATTGCTGATCCATCACTCGCCAGATTTTGAAAAGACTAAGAGAGAGTTTGGGGACGTGTTCGGGTACGTCCCTGGCGAATTGAGCATCCAGTCAACGAGCTTCTTTAAGCACACGACCCTGCTTTGCCTAGCAGCCCTTGAAGAGAGCCTGGAGATTGGCATGGTACATCGCATTCTTCGTGCGGCTGGGAGGTACTCAATTCTCTTGCACAAATCAGAATCGATGACATCCAGGATTATCGCCGACCTCCAATTCAAGGAGGCGACTGTGGCGTCTGATATCCTCGCCATTATCGCAAATTGTTGCACATATCCTGTGCGGCTGGATGTGAAGTCGCTTGACAAGGAAGATATTTCCGTCAATATCCTTGCTTTACGTCTTCTCAACGGAGAGGTTTTTCACAACGGCCGCGGCCGAAACCAATATTTAACGCGGCCGAAACGCACGACGGAACGCTTTTTCTTTTCGCAATTTGAGGCTCCCCCAAACCATCACAGGCTCACGTACAACAAGCATTGCCGATTCGACGATGTTTACCTTACAAGTACAGGGGTCGAAACTACTGGGCATTTGTGGAAGTTAGAGAAGCTGATACGTACGGACGAGCTGCTCCCTGGTCCACTGCGTTTGAAGCCTTCGAAACGGACATTAATCACGCGAGACCGTCTAACGCAGCTGAGGGATATGCTGAGGGACAACGGTGCCCAATTTCTCGCTGAAAAGATCGACCATTTCATCCGTTATAATGACTGGAACTCGCCTCTTCGACCGCTTACAAGATCCGGTTTCTCACGTCACTGGGTATCAACAATGATTCAGGAAGTGATCGCTGCAATGGAAGATGGCAAAGTCCTTAGATTGGGGCGTTTGTATGGCTCTCCTACCAATGAAACCCCACAAAGTTCTGCCCTGTTTATCTACAAGGATGATGCGCATCGGGAACCGTTCGGCCCGTCGGATTACGCTTTCACAGTTTTACGTCCCAAGTCTGTGGATGACAAGCTGAGGAACTACAATGACTTACATCGGCATGTCTCTATTCAAGTGGAAGTAGCAGGCCTCGCCGACTCGTTGCCTCGACTGTATTTCAAGCAGTGGATGCCAGGATCATGTTTCTTCTCGGGATGTCCCAGGAGGAAGGTGGTGTTTCCTTGGCCAGATATATTATGAGCACAGCTCTGCATCTAAGTAGGACGTGTCGCATTATTTGCCCCCTGTACCTGCAGTCACGCGTATAGTAGATTTTGTTATAGTAACAAGTGTTCATGCGTTAGCCTCTGGTGCCTCTGGATCATGTGTGGCCGCCTTTTTAGCTACCCGCCAACGGCTTTGTTACTAGGCACGCCGAAATGTGCCAGGATATGGCGGAACTAGACCTCCCAGTCTTCTCATGGGGGCCATAAAGTGTCTGAACAATCTCCGTCAGGATATATTGACTGGAGGGGGCTCTGAGGTTTCATATCGCCTGGATGGCGGCTTGGTTATGAGAGAAGATGACATCTGCTTAGCCCCTGCTCTGCGGGAATGTACACCATAAGTTTGGCAGCAAGGACAACGGCTTACCAACCCATCTGTCCGGGTTTGCGTTGAGCCCTTCACGCATGTCTCGATACGGCTCGTGCACTGCGTGGTTTGCCGGCTTGACGCCCGGGTCATATCCTATCCAGTAGGCCAACTCCAGCATAGGGCCTTCGTTCATACTACCATCGCCAGTGCCCGCCTCGTACCACTACCACCACGCGTAGTGGAGGGCCTTGAATCCTTGTGCTATCCCCAAGAGGATGGCCTCGAGGTTTGGGACGTCGTGGCGACGCAACTCTCTGTCCTGTTTTTGATACGCGAAGATGGCGCGTGGTCCGAGAGGCGCGCGATTCTTCTTCAACTGACCACATGCAGATGTGTTCCGACCACGATTGCTCTGCGGAGATCTAATATAGAGATTCTACCTACACTCTAGGAACCTGCACTACATAGAAGGCTCTAATTAGAGAGAGGGTTTATATTAGAAGAGGATGCCATTTTAAACGGATATTATCTTAAGGGGCCTATATATTCTTAACAAGTTCTTAACGGGATCGCGTGCTTTCGAATGGGCATGGTCGTATGTGACATTGTGCGCGCAATTGCATCCTATGTCATTAACTGGTGTCTTCACATTCTCGGTCTAATATACCCCCAAAACGAAAATTCCCGGGTTAACGTGAAAAAGTGATTTCAAGTGATCACGATTGATTCTACATATCTTTGATAAACACAAGATAAAATCTTTAGGGAGAAGTTGCAGAGTCTCAAGATCGAGAGAAGTTTACCAGGCCAGACCCATTTGCAACTCCCAGCCTTTCAACGACAGAAGCAAGCTTATGAGCCGTGTCCAATATAGACAGATCAGACTGCCCAACCCAATTATTCTTTGCATCTTCCTTTTGGGACATGTAAAGTCTAGCTTGATGGTATTCACCAGCCGTCAGAATCGTGTGCTGGTCGGATGAGAGTGTGAGTCTACCATCTTCCTCTCGCTTCAGGATTTCCAACTTCGCATCTATCTCACATTTGTTAGACCTGTTCCAGACTAAAGTGGCATATGGGGAGCATACGAGTATTTGCATTGACAAAGTAAGCCATGGACCATCTGGTCTGGTCAATTGGTAGGTTGTCGAATGAGATTTTGTGCAGCGTGGACTTCAGAGCCTGTCCACTCCACAAAGACATGGCATCGCCGACATTGACCACGATGGAGTCAGGGATCAAAGGAACTTCGATCCATCTCTTCGATGGAGTCTCGACCTCCAGCCCCCCAGAACGGGGCCATACGAATGTCAAGGAGCCCCAGTCCGTATGCGAGTAGAGGCGCGGAAAATCCTCCTTGGGCTTCTCGCCTAGCTTTGGATAGTGTAGCATCCGAAGCACGCTTCCTGGTCCCTGATTCATATTGTGAGCAGAGGTGAAATATTCTGGATCGAGCCCAAAAGACGTAGCAAACACTTTGAGGAGTTCAAGGCCGAGGTTGTGAGCCTTCTCCTTGAATTCCTCCACTTTGGCTCGCTTCTCGGCGTCCCACCAGGGATGGATGTTATCTCCTTGAACAATATCGCCTTTTACGCCGCCAAAAACCATACATTCGTTCATCCCGATTCTAGTGCAAAGTTAGATGATTGGATTTCCCGTTGATGTGGGATATTGCCGAAACGTACTTGGAGCGTTTCAAATCGTAGCCAATTTGGCGCTCGTCGATAACACACTCGAGCTTTTGCTCTTCTGGAAGCGTGCAGAAGGCTTGATGCTGACTCAATTGTTAATCTTTCGAGAGACGAACGTGTTGTTAGCCAGTCGTGCTCACCATCTCAAACATGGAGTCAATGATGTCTTTAGGAATCCCATGGCCCGTCAAGATCATGAAACCCCATTTCTTGCAAGCTTCGACGATTTCAGGACCCTTTAGATCGGGCCAGTTCCCGTCTTGAGATAGGTCAATGATTGGAAAGACTTCGTCTGCCATTTTCTTGGTGATATTGTCAATCTAGGATTCGCCGATACTTTGCTGGTGAGTTGGATGCAATCGAAAGATACGGCTGCTAGTGCCTGATTCAACACATTCTTATAGGTTAAATCGATTGCAAGTCACCTCCATTGATCCTCCATCACTCTTGCCGAGATGGGCCCAAAGTTGGAGCCGGGTGAGTTGCTGGGCTAAACTCGGCCGGGTTGAGCACCAAGGGCGGCCCACCAAGAGATAAGACATATCGATCTTGTCGGATAAGACTCGTCCATTCCTCTTCTTACTCGTCCGAGTTTCTCTCTCAACGATTACTCGGCGCGTTGACTCCGTGTCCACAGATCCTGCGATGACAGGCAGAAATCGAGTATCACAGAGAGCCCCCACCTCCTGCAAGCAATGCACGCGCCGCAAAGTGAAATGCTCCAAGCAAATTCCTTGTGCGGCATGCACTGCTCGGGGTGCAGCCGAAGAGTGCATTCGAGAAACAGTTGTGCTGTCCAAGCAGGCAAACCCGACGGTGCGGAAGACAAGGAGACGACGCCAGATCTCTGAGCCCAGTGTCCTATGCTCCCCATCATCCTTATCACCAGGCCACCTTTCCTTGGGCTCGCCAGAACAAACTCACCCGACCGGACTCGGGCTTGGATCTAATCCCGAAAACGAGTGCCGCCGTTCAGTCGAAAATGCCAGGCCGATCAGCTCTCCTCTGCCGAGCAACGATGAGGTCCCATACCGTAGCCCAAGCGAGGAAGTCCCGCCCGAGATTCCGGCCCAGCGTGATCATATACAACCACCGCAAAGAGTGTCCACAGAAGCGGCACTCTCGCTTGAGTCCGTCGTATGGGGCAGCCATCAAGCCGTGGTAACAAAGACAGCACGATCGTTTGGAAGTGTTGGGGTTTCTATGGAAAGTGATTTCGTCCGAGCGTACCATGAGCAGATCATCATTAATCTGCACCGTGAGAATGTGGCATGGATGCACAACGTTGTGCATCTGCATACTTTCGAACAGGAGTGCTCCGAGGTGCAGTGGGAGCAGGAACCCCCTCCTGGATCCTGGTGCGCGCTGTACTATGCCACCATGAGTGTGAGTTACGGATCCTGTTTTGTTTGTTCGTATGCGCGTTGGAATTAAACTAATACGGTTGTCCAGGCAGGATTCTACTACATGACCAAAGATATTGAGCAACGACATAACATTGACGAAGCGTTATCCTTGGCAAAGTTCTTTTATAGGAAGGCACTCAACTCATTGCATGAGATAGACTTCATGGCCAATCCTTCTCGTAAGTCCCCGCTTCGAACTTCACAGTCAATCTACTTGCATTATCTTTTCAAACTAACCTTCAACCAACTCTCAGTTCACGTCCTCCAAGCAATTTGTATGTTTGTGCCATGCGGATATGCGTTTGGGTAAGAACATGAATCATGGATATAGTTGAAGACTACGGTGCTAACAATCAATGTGAAGAGACACGCGCAGAATGATCACGTTACTGTCGTCTGCCTGTTGTATTGCTCAGCTCATGCAGTTACACAATCTAGAAGAGCAACCACCTGGCGAACGGACGGCCGGACACATCATGCAACACGAGATCAAGAAGCGAGTTTGGGCGTTTCTTGTCATACAAGACTCTTACCTCGTTTCATTCAAGCATACCTACAGTATTCAGCTAACCCACTCTCAAACGCCTCCCCCGCTGAACTGCTCTGAATCTCTGGATGGCCTAGTCGTGGGTGGCCAGTTAAAGATACTACCAGCCTCACAACCGACACAAACCAGCTATATGCTCCTACAACTGAAGCTTACAAACCTCAAAAGAGATTTATTTGATGAAATATCCTCATGTGCCAACATCTCCCCTGAGCTGCAATTCAACATGGTACTGCAGACTGACGAGAGGATGATGGCACTTCGACGGGATCTACCATCTTGGATGAAGTCCGAGGGTCTTCCTACACAAACCCCAATCTTCGTCCAGTCTCAATGGCGCACATTCCGCATCTCGTATGCTCACATGATAATGTCGATCCATCGTACTTTCTTTTGCCTGTCTTTCAGCGACAAAAAGTACTGCTACTCTCAGATCGCATGCCTGGGTGCTTCACACATGCTGCTGAAGACCTATCTAGACACGGCAGGCTGTGGGCTAGTAGAGAGTTGGACCATCCCTGCAAACCTCCTAAGCTCTTGTATCTTTCTATCATTGAATCTTTTCCTTTCCGGTTGCAATGATGGATTCGATCCTCATGTGTCAAAATCACACTTTGAGGACCGAGGGATCATTCTTCAAGCTTTACAACATATAGAAACATCAGGACCATTTAATCAGATGGTTAAACGAGGAGGTATTGTAATCAGACGGCTATTGGAAACGAAGCATGAAGAGAGGTCTCCCGGAGTGTCCTTTACTAGCGACGAGATCACTGCTTTGGTCCGGGAGGTTGAGAACACAATGCAAGAGGATGACTCGGAGACTATGGGAATATTTAACTTGACGTTTGATGAATTCCTCGACTTTTCTGTTAATAGCTGATCTCGAGTCCATATTTTGGTTTGCAATCTTTAACACTGATATTCAATGACCACATTCTCCACAACTCAATTTCGACCGTGATGGTGATTCCCTCCATTATGTGCTCACGACTTCGCCAAACCTGCAGAAAACGACATTTGGTAAACCGACTGCGTCCAGGCCGAAGTCGCTCGTGTGTAACTCGGCCGAGTCTTGTATGATGAATACCCACAAGCTCCCTTTCTATTTTCATATCTGCAGCCAATCAACCCTCAGCCGAAGATAAGCATTATGTCTTAGTTCTCCAGCGAAAATCGTGGACGACAAGGTTGATTCTACAAATAAGGAACGATGAACTCACAAACTAGAACACAATGTTGATCTCAACAGTTCGATTATCACTTACTTCTCTTCCATCATTAATATCATGAACTTCGCACGGGAGCGCCTACATACAGTGGCGCGAGAAGTCAAGGCAAAGAGCACATCTTTGGAGGCCTGGAAGTTACCCAAGAACACAAGCTCTCTTGCCCCGGACTATGTCTGGACAAACGCAGGTAAGTGTGCTGCAAAGTCTGGGGTTCACTCCATACTTACCATTTTCCAGACCAGGACCCAGTTCCACCGGAAAAGCAGACATGGACGGCTTGGTCCTTTGCCGGATACTGGTTCAGTGACCTGTTTAATGTGACGGGATGGCAGATCGCCTCCAGCACGATTTTGAACGGCCTCGGCACAACGGATGCGATTCTCATTGCTCTTCTGGCCGGGTTCTGCAACGCTGTACCGACCGTCCTCAACGGAGCGATTGGGTCGAAATACCATATCCCATTTCCTGTTGCTATCCGTTCAAGTTTCGGGTACTGGTTTTCCTACTTCGCTGTCGTCTCCCGATGCATCCTGGCCTTGTTCTGGTTCAGCCTGCAGGGCTACAGTGGCTGTTCCTCTATCGAAGCAATCATCGTTGCGATATGGCCAAGCTTCGCATCGCTTCCTAATAACTTACCTGAAAGTGCCGGTATCACGACAAAGACAATGGTGTGCTACCTCATTTATAATATTTTCCAATTCCCGTTGCTCCTCATACCTACTCATAAGCTGCAATGGCTCTTCCTCGCCAAGGCCATTTTGGTGCCGCCAATGGTGTTGGGTATGACAATCTGGACCTGCTTGCGAGCGGGAGGCTCGATTGAGATCTTCCAAGTGCAGCCGACTGTCTTCGGGACCGACAGAGTCTGGCTGTGGCTTGGAACTTTGACGTCTGTCACTGGGGGATACTCAACAATCGCTGTCAACATTCCAGACTTTTCGCGATTTTCCAAGAGTCAGGGAGCACAATGGATCCAACTGCCCCTGATCCCGTTCCTCAAAGTCTTTGTTTCGCTCTTCGGTATTATCTGCACCGGCGCATCCATCCATATATATGGCCAGTACGTGTGGGATCCGTTGAAGATCGTCTCATCGTGGGGAACGACGCCCGGCGGTCGATTCCTCGCTTTTGTCTGCGCCGTCATTTGGCTGATCGCGCAGGTGTGCACCAACATATCCGCCAACTCAATCAGCTTTGCCAACGACATGACAACCCTGTTCCCCAAGTGGTTCAATATTCGCCGTGGCGTGGTTTTTGCCTCCCTGGTCGGGGCTTGGGGGCTTGTGCCTTGGAAAATCAACAAGGCCGCTGGGAGTCTACTGAGCTTCATGTCGGGTTATGCAATCATCCTTGGTCCCTTTGCCGGCATTATGGTGGCAGATTACTATCTCGTACGCCGGAGGGAGCTCGATGTGATTGAGCTCTATGATTCCAGAGGAAAATATCGCTACAACAAGGTACGTTCAGACATTATCCTCCCAAAATCGCTGGGAGTCCGACTCACATAAAATCTTAGTTTGGCGTCAACTGGAGGGCATTTTTAGTCTTCTTCTCCGTCTTCATCCCCCTCGTCCCAGGGTTGGCCAGGGTTGTGAGTCCATCCAACGTGTCGATCGACATCGGCCTTCGACATTTATACAGCATCAGCTGGCTCTTTGGATTCATCACGTCATTAGTCTCCTATTTTCTTCTCATGAAAATATTTCCAGCCAAAAGTACGATGGCTCGGTCACAGAGCTCCATAGAAGGGGTAGAAGATGCGATTTCTCAGACCATCGTGGGGGATGACAAGGAGAAAGCATAATTTAGAAGTAGCCCATCAGAAAGCCTAGTTACACCTTCTAGGGATAATTGAGGCCGATATTTCCTGTTCTCAAGGATCTAGAAGAGAATATCTGAATGAGAATAAGGATATGTTCTTGGAGTAATAATCTTTGTCATGGTGAGAACAAGGAGCTTCACAATCAAAGTTTGTCACAGTTACTCCGCGCCTTAGGCTAGTTTAGTGTTTTTCGACACTCGCTTTCCAGGTAACTGTGGGGACAAAAGTCTTGTGAGATTCATGAAGAAAATACAAATGCCATGCGATATTCAATACTGGGGCTATCATACATATCATCTTCATACTTTGAGCATCATCAACCGTTGCAAAAGTGTAGGGTAGGGGAAAAGCTTCAAGCAAGAGAGCAGTAGATTATCTATTTTTAGTTGTTATTTGCCCTCAGCGGCTTTCAATTGGGCAAAGGGACACGAATCCACTGTATCTTACTAAGGTGTCAGACAGCGTTGTACCAGAGACGCTTTTGAGAGCAACACTCTGAGTAATTTTAACATCCCCGTTTTCCAGTGGAGAGATAGTGGGGTTTCACTCTTTATTTAGCAACACTGGACCGGATTCGAGGGCTCAGGGGTGAATAGCTGAAGGATCCAGCCAAAACTTGCAAGGAACGGTCACTGATTCCCAGGCGTGAGTGAGCCCGATTCTTCCGTACCTTAGGGTATTGTAGCTGCTGATTAAGCTCTTTTATGCGCTGAACACGACACGAAAAGACACGGCGCAGCACGTTGAGGCCAGCATCAGTGAGCGCGATCGACTCATCTTTGCTCCCACCGAGATCTGAAAAGGCAGATACACCTTCCAGATGCAATGATAGCGCCCACGAACGAGTCCTGATGAGTTTTCTTGGGGCGAAATGTCCGCACGATTGATTTCAGCCAGCTGGCTGCTGGTCCTGGCCAGCCTGCTTAATTTTGCATGCTGCTCCGCCAGTTACGATTGCCCCGATTATGTGGCCAAGCACGGTATGTCAACGCTGCCCAGCGAGAGGAATATCCGCAAGGATAGAATCTAACAAGCTCAAATAGCGCCCATCGTGTGGCTGCATTCGGATGATGCGTACTTACCCAGTGATCTCCTCACGCATGTGCAGCACACAACACCCAAGATTGATGGGAAGCTCATCAAAGACAAGCTTCCCGCGCTTAACCTGGACAACCTGGACCTCTTGAACAACTACAGAGATGTCGCGCTCGCTTCAAATGACGATCCGCTGTCCAACCCGGCCTGGATGCGCGGCACGGCTCCAGACAAGGACGGTCGCATTCACGACGCCACGCCCTGCGTCGTCATCCTCGTCGACAACCCTTTCAATGATGTTGACGCCTTCTACTTCTACTTCTACTCCTTCGATCAAGGGCCGAACATCACCCAGGTCATGCACCCGCTGGAGCGCGTAGTCAAGGGAGGCAAGGTCGGCCACGGGATGCATTTCGGCAACCACGTCGGAGACTGGTGAGATCCTCATCTGGTGGTTGTGGGAGGACGACTCTGTTTGCTGACCGCTATGCCTCGCTAGGGAACACAATATGATCCGCTTCAAGGATGGAAAACCTGTTGGAATTTGGTATAGCCAGCACAGAGACGGTGCCGCTTATCAATGGGGAGACCCCGAGCTCAGCGTCACTGATGGCAGAGTATGCATTGCCCCTTTCTTGAGATCTTGCCGTACCTCAGTAATCTAACCCTTTTAACAGCCAACTGTCTATAGCGCGCATGGCTCACACGCGAACTATGCCAAGCCAGGGTAAGAACCGCTTGTCACAGTTGATTTATGTACCCTGCTAATCGAAAACCCAAGTGACAATATCCATGATGTAGCCTTGATCGACTGGTGTAACAAGGGCAAGAAATGGGACCCTGTTCTGTCGGCATACTTTTTCAAGTACCACAAAAACAACGAGACACTCACGACGCTAAATTCTCCTGATAAGAAGAATTCAGGACCACCCGCACACAACTTCACTTCATTATTCTACTACAATGGAATCTGGGGAGACGACCAACTGCTTGACTCGGACCCCCGCCAGGACCACGTGCCCAAGTTTGGGTTCCCGCGCTTCTTGGATGGCCCGCAAGGTCCCAAGTACAAGCAGATCGTCCGGAAAGAAATATACCCCAACCGCAGACCGAAGAAGACCTGGATCGAATTCTCCGCCGGCATGTTCATGACGGTGTACCCATGGGCTCTCCAGGGGTGGAGAGGATGGGTAACGTTCGTGTTCGTGGTGATTCTCATCTTCCTGCTCGGGGTGGGAGCCAAGGTCGCCATCACCAAGGGGGTCAGGCGGTACTACTCTAGGGGCCGGTACCAGAAGCTGCAGCAGGGGGAGCAGATCCTCATGGAGGACTTCGAAACGAATGAGGTCCTTTTTTCGAGCCGCGACAGGTCCATGGATAGGGACAGGCCAGACCGGCCGAATAGGGATAGGGGTGATGATTTTGTGTAGACTGTCCTGTGGTTTATACCCTGAACTCCCTGGGCTCTTTTCCTTCTTCTTTCTTTCTCTTGATCCTCTCCGCATTTTTTCTTTCTTCTTCTTTATTTTGTTTATAGACTAGGTGGCATTATTGCCTTTTTGCTAACGAATGATGGATGTTTTCATTTCTGAGATTGCGCATTATAGCGAAATTATACAACGGAGTCTGCGTTACATGGGAGGAGAAGGATTTGAAATCTATTCATGAGCTGTGCGTGTATGTCTAAAATCTCTTTTCTGAAAAAGACAACTCCTAAATCACTGCTTTTGAATCAATCGCGCTTGTTTTTAACGCTCTATCAAAACTCCAAGCCATTCTTTTACTGTCCCAAAGTAGAGTATCCTCCGATGGGCCGAAGATTCCCATCCTTGGTGTACATGTAAGCCGTAGCCTTTGCTTTTGAGTAAAATTCAATCGACGTCGCCAAGATCTGCAGAACCCTCTCGGAATCCCACAGATAGGACCCCTGGAGGCAAATGGTCAATAGACCCAGGTTCTCGCACTGCATGCAAGAAAGCATGGCAATGTTGTTAAAAACGGCCATGAGCAGGGACCGGCAGATATCACCGTCTTTAAACGGCTCCTCCTCACCCCCCGGCTGCGTCTTCCCCTCCCTCTCGGTCCGGCCCAGGATCCCAAACACATTGCCGAAGGCCGCGGCGACGGCCGTCTTCCGGAGCCCGATACCCATGTAGTCGCTCCCGTAGATGTCGCCGATGAGCTTGTCCACCTTGGAGTTCTGCCCTTGCTCCGCCAGCTCCAGCATCTCCTCTGAGCTCCTGGCCTTGGTGAGCAGGGCGACGAGGCCCATGAGGCTGGCGCCTCCGAGGGTGGTGCCGCCGACGCGTTCCCACGTCGAGCCGTCCGATACCTTGTAGAAGGAGACGCCGGAGCCCACGTCTACCAGGAGGAAGGGCCCGTGGGACTTCATGGAGGTTGCTACGGCTCTGATGTGTCTCTCAGGATGCATGGTGGCCTGGTCGGGAAGTTCTGAGTGAATGCGCGTGGCATCACCTGCTGCGGTTAGCTGGATGTTCGGCGGTGAGGATGGGGTTTAACATCAGAGCGATTTTAGGAGAGGTAGTGATCAAACTTGAGAGCGAACTCTTCGATGGGAGACTCACTGAAGTGCCCATTTATCTCATCCATGTCGTTCTGGTCATTTTGCCCCCTTGCAATGGCAGATCTGGCTGGTTGGACCTCCGCGTGAGCTGTATCATGGCAGCCCGCATGCCCCGCGTTTGGGGCTCCTTGATGGACGGTGTCCTCTGGATGGCCAGAGACACCCGGAGCAGCGTTCATACCAGCCAATTTTCCGAGGACCTGTCATTGACTAGAATGACAGCGATTCGGTCTGGCCCAGAATTGCAACGGAGTCAATGCACGGCAATGGCAGTGCAATGTCTTGAACCATTGACACAAAAGATTGGTGAAAAGGAGGTAAAATTGAATATTAGTCATCGGTTAGAGCGGAACAAGGCTCGGTCCGAAGCCTGTCATTAGCTGTTTCTGGGGATAATCCACTCACTTTCAAGACTTCTCCCTTATAGCAGGCAAGGGAGGACCTTACACAGTAGTGAAGGGATGAGAAAAAGAGACTACGGGGGCATGGGGGGGTAGGCGGCCGTTGATGAATATGAAAGAGCCAAATGGCTTGTATTGATGAGGTACACAAGTATAAGTCTAATGCCCTTCCTCATCTACACGCAAGCAATTGATCAAACGGCTCGATTGCGACGGTCCCATCCATCGTTCGATCCACTCTCTTACAGCTGGCGAACGCGCATCAAAAGATCGGTGTCCACGGTGACGATGCCCTCGCTGGGAGCCCTCTTCCTCTTGCTACTGTAAGATGGCCTTGTCGGACAGTCACCGAACTTCTGTCCCGTACAAGTCTTGATATGCTGGGCATCCTTCAGTAATTACATTGCCTGAGTCAAGGATATCTTGCTACTCACTAGAAGATTCTGCAGAATGGAGAACACGTTGACTGCTTGACGTTTCTCGACCTTGTCTCCGACCGGCACGGCGGCAACCGAGACGGCAAAAACGGCGAGGATGACGGCGGCAGGCTTCATATTGGCGGCCTTTTGGATGAAGGTTCGAAGTGAAAGGCTTAAGGAATTTTGATGATGCTGGTGATCACTGCTCTATCCGCTGTTCTGACTTTTGGTACTGGTTTGGGGAGCGGAGCCATCTTATAAGCTTGAATCGGTGCATCACCTGCACGTAACGAATTTCCGGCCCAATCTGCAAATCTGTTGATCCCGCAATTTCTTCTCGGCTGCTTTCAACACTGTTGATATTAAGGTTTGTCCTTGGCCGAGGTGCCAGCAGCTCGATCATGCCACGCGATCAGCGGGCTCACCTACGCCCAAAGACTGATAGCCGTTTCCAAACAATTGGATAATATTTCCTCAATTCCCGTTTCCGGCGACTTCAAAGGTAGGGCTCACCGCATACGTTTCTTCCATACTTCCAAACACTCGTGTGTCGCAGCTTTGTGCCGACGCTTTCGGTACGGTTCCCTTTCCGGCGCAACAAATTGCCTTCATGGCTCCTCTCCAATCCTGAACCACGACAATTGATACGTTCGGAATTGGATGGTTCTGCATGACAACCAAGGATAAAATTCTCAATTATTTATCGCATTTAATGGGACAAATGGATGGCCAAACGATGAAGTCTGTCGCTTGCCTTGGTGAGACGTTCATTTACCCTGACTTCAAATGGGTAAGTTACAAGATTGGACACACTATACAGGCTTCCGTATTGTATCACCTCGAAGGAAACAATTACGACCTGAGATCCTTATCTTCTATTTGCAATATTCTGGCCCGGTTAAATGGTGTTTCCCTCTGCACATATTTTCATCGATAGTCCATGACTCAAGTCGTATCTCGGCGTTGATCAAGAGCGCCGAAGCATTGATGTTATCTTTCTAAAAATGAGCCTTCAGTGAAAGCTACAGATTCTTGGCAAGCTGGGCCTCGACCTTGTCCCACTCTCCCTTAACTTTGCAGGCAGAGGTCCAATAGTTCTCCTTGTGGTCCTTGCCGAATATGAAGAAGCCATCAGTCGGTTTGATAGGTCCATGGTTCTATTGGACATACGATGGTCTACAAGGTACGGACGCATCTTAAATCGAATAATCCCACCTTTGACCAGTTGGAGGACCCGAGCTGCACCATGCCTCCATCTCCAAACATGACAATCGGCAGACCAAGCTTGGATGAACGTACTTTGGCATAGTACGCTTCGTGCTGAACCCCCGTACTCTGCTCGCTGATGGCGCGGCGTTTCTGGCACGCGAGCCAGCTGAGAGGTTTGGATGCCACATCGCCTGCCTCGTCACGCAGCTCTTGTAGAGCTTTTCTCTAACTGCGGCTCCCAGGATGATTTGGGAATGCATATCATACGGTTTTCCTTGGGGCGGACGAGCGTATCAACACCATATCCTAGTCCCCATCTAAGTATTGCCATGACCACAACCTGTCTATCGGCCAGGATGTGCTTTTCAGTAACAGGCCGTGTGCCTTTTGCAAGAGGACCAAAAGGATCGGGCTCTATGCCACATCGTGTCGGAATCCCATCCGCCCTGGCCCATAGCATGGTACTCCAACCTTCGATAACGTATTGCATACCCAAGGCATCAAAGGTTATATTCATTGGGTCAAGTTGTCGGGCTCTGGCAGCTTCCATTGCTGTTAAACTTTATTCTCTTTCTCTTAGGTAAGGCATCAAAGGCAACATGTTGCAAATGGAGCACATCAGTTGTTTTGTCCGTGAATGAATGAATGCGTAAGCCCAAGACTGGGATATCAGATGTTAGATAGTCTTTTATGCCTCTAGGTTTGTATTCTGCCGCCCATGCAAGCGGCTCCAAGTCATCCGGGTTTCCTACCACGGCGGGCTTATTGCTGGGCAAGGGAGTCTTTGACGCTGCTGCGTTCAACGATGCAGGCACACCGTCGTCAACGTGGACATAATCGATCGCGGGCCTTTCTGCTGTGAAGGTGTCAGTAATATGCCACTCGACATGACCAGATGTCTGTGACTGGATAAGTAGCGGATCAAGAAGTATAAAAGCGTTGTGAGGGATGACAGGATAGATGGTTGAATAGGTCATGGAAAGTATCTCACATTCCTTCTCAAACGACCGCCCAGTCTTTGCCACCCTTCCCTCCGCACAAGTCCATCAACTGATCGGCTGAGTTTCTCAGGATTAAGCACTCCATCAAAAACAATCGACACCGCCATGTTGTTGCCTTGAACCAACGGGGTTTTCTCGAAAAAGTGGAGTGGCACCACCCGGTCACCTACAACCGTTTCCGGTGCTGGATTTTTGCTGAAGAACATAACGCTGGCTGGTTTGTTGCAGAATAATTGGTAGTGTGGTGCGAAGGAAAGACATCTGCTAGCCGAAGGTGTCTGGATATGCCCAATGAAAAATTCATGAGATGGTCAGCGAGAGCACATGGATGGACAGTCAGTATAAACACAGGGGATGTGGTAAGAAGACCGAGGGAAAGGAAGATTTCCCTCATACTACCTCGATAACCAATACTTGGCCTACATCAGGCTTGGTAATAGGGACCATTTGTGATACGTAGCGCGACAAAGGGCTAGGATGACAGGATGTAACTCTGCATCGTAACCAACACATCACCAACTGTCGCGTCAAGTATCCATAACTGGCGCGACTCTCAAGAGACACCATGAGAAGGTTGGACGTTTCTGGAGGCCGTAGCTTACATTCTGAGGGCACCGCGTTTGTACCTCATATTTGCCACTATGTGAAGAAAGCATACAGTAGTTCTGTTACTAGGCTCGATTGCATGAGGGCTCTCAATTGGCACTTTTTTGTACTGGACGCAGGAGGAGGAATGGCAGTAGGTCTTGGAACTGGCTCGCCATAGTAGGAGTGGCAAGGAATAATGGGAGACAAGGGTCAAACTAAATGTCGCTCGCGTGGGATAGGATCAATGCCATGCTTTCCTCCGGGGAGATGGAGCCTCAAAACCCCTGACTGGTTCGAGTAATGATGATCAGACACCACGTAGGCCGTACTCAATGTTTGGAGTGCCAGATCAAAAAGAACCTTCAATTTTGATTCTGGACAAAGGGAGAAGCAAGCATTGCTCAGTCGTCACTTTTACGCCCCCACCACTTCTGTTGGGCACTTGACTCAGCTGGTGTGCTTTATCATCATGCTAAACAAAGAAAGATGATTTTGAAACCGTCATGCATTCATTCATCCCTATGTTGCTGCTTACAATGAAATTTTCGGGAATCTGAAAGAGAACTTCGGTAGACGGGCAACCGAGTGACAAAAGAAACAAGATTTACTCTTGTTGCACTTTTGGAGTTGTGCGAAGAATTTCTTATTACCCTAGCCTAATGATGAATAACCGCCAGAATAATACACTCTATATTACCGAATCATATCATTTTTTGCTGTTATATCATCCCGGTTATTGGAAATCATGATCTACCTATAATTCCTTATCAATTTAATGTCTCATTTCTTCTGTCACCCACCGGTATATTACTGGGCAATGTTCACGAGTACTAAACTTTGGATATTGATCCGAGCTTTTCGGCCATGAGGAAACGGGCCAACATCAACGCAGTAGACTGGACTGCTACGGTTTTGGATCGATACCGTCTCTCTGGAGAAGTCAGTTGAATAATGAGTTTTCAACTTTTATCTTGCACAAAGGAACAGGTAATCGATTCCGGCTTCCATTCCAATTTACATGACTGACTAGTCGAACCGAAACCCTGTTTCGATTCGAAGGTGCATAACTCTCAATGATCGTGCAAGAATGTTCTTTACGCCCGAGATGCATGGTTCTCCTCGCTGATTGCGTGGAGGCGACCTTTACGGTTCACTGTCAGATCTTTGGTCATGTCGGTTGCGTTGGGTTCTCCTTTTCAAGGACTCGTTAAGTTTAGATGGGAGTATGGTTATAACCAGACCACTTTCCACCATAACGAAGAGGATATAGTAGTATAAAACGACATAAAAGTAATAAAATATACTTTATTCACTCTATGATGGGAACACTGTGGGATTGGAGGTGGTATTAGTTATTTAAACGTACATACCTTATGTAGCGAGTTTTTTTTTGGAGGTGTTGATGCCGTTGCCTGAGCTGTATGTGTTGCAAATTCTGACTTTTCCGTATGGATTATGATTCCCGTTGGAAAGATTTTGCGTAATCTAGGCACGTAAGGTACCTAGTCACGTACATAGCGTGATGCTGGGATATCTATCCCTTACTTATAGCAATCAAAAACAAACAAAGAAAGCAAAAAAACAAACATGCTACATTGTCTCCGAACTATGATTTATTCACACTAAACAATTTGGCAATACTGGTCGCAGGCTCAAGAATAAACAGCTCGATGTTCGAGTACTTCAAATTCAAAGTCACCCGGTGGTATACGTAAATGACATTTAGTTGCGCCCAATGCGCCAAAAGAAACCACGAGGAGCTGAGGTCAAATTTTAATATAAATAGTACTTATATGTCGCTTCTCAGTCTAGCTTGAATCATAGTTCATCTCAATACCACTGTCCGACAAACACATCGTCATGTCTTTTCTCGCGCTCCCCAACGAGCTGATCGCTCGCATTTTAGGGGCTATACAAACCGACTCCAAGAGGGAGTTGGTGAAGTTGCGGCTCGTTTGCCGTACGTACTCCTCCCCCCCTCTCCTCCTAACCCTCCTCTAATGTTGATAATAGGCCAATTCGATGACCACATATCCCGCATCATCTTACGGACTTCGTGCCGGCGCGAGCTCGATATTCGCCGCAGATTACACTGGCGACCAAGCATCGAATGGATGCTGACCACAAAGGCGAGAACCCAGACGTTCGAGCAAGGTGTATTCGCATTCGTGCACGACGCTGCCGGGCATCTGGTCGATAATATGAGGGGTGTGATCCCGCAGCTTACGTTGGATACTGCTGTTGTCGCGGCTTGCCGTCTCATCGTGGCCGTAGACGAACCATCGTGGGTTGTCAAACACCTCGTCACCTGGAAGCCCGGAAATCCTCTGCCACAATCCCTGTCGAGTTTGAAAAACTACACCCGCGGTCAGAAGGTACAGGACCCCGAGAGATTCTACGGGATGTTGCATCTTATGGTGGCCTGCGGGGACAAGGCGGCTATCGAATCGGTCATGAGGAAACGGACCAACATTGACGCGGTAGACTTAGCTGCTATCCATCCTGTATTTGGGGACCTCATGCGTTGCGCCATTATATTGGATCAAGTGGCTGCAATCCGCGCCTTGCTCCTGCACGGAATCGATCCCCGCACTGTCAATGTCGAGGGCAACATGATAGGAACCCTGGTGTATGCTGCTGAGATGAACCGAGAGGCAGCCGTCAGGGCTATCTTGAGCGTTTCAACCAGCATAAACATCAACACGCGAGGAAGGTTCGGCCATACCGCGCTTGGCTGGGCTGCTCGTAGGGGATGGACGGACGTTGTCAGACTGCTCCAAAGAGACGACATCGACCCAAATCTGGGTAATAAACGGCTAGAATCGCCCATGGCCGCGGCAGCAAAAGAGGACCATGAAGAAATTGTGCGTCTGCTTTTGGACAGAACAGCCATCAGGCCACTATCATTAGGCTCAAGGTTGTCTTGCCCGTGGAGGGTGGCTCTAGAGTCGGGTGCAACTAAAGTTGTACGGCTCTTCCTGGACCGATTTGGTGATGCCATCGATATCAATAAAGTCCTATTCAATGGGGAGTTAGCTTTAGGCCTGGCAGCCGAAAAAGGCTTTACAGCGCTGGTTAGAATGCTCCTCGATGTTCCAGGCATTGAACCCGACAAGATCCATATGAAGTGCTGGACGCCGCTGGCACGGGCTGTGAGACGACGACACACGGAAGTCGTTCGCCTGCTGCTACGCTATAAGGTCAACTTTGCGCATAGACCAGGCCGCATGGTGCTCACCCAGATGGCTTGGCGTCAGAACTGCGGGGAAATCTTTGAGCTGCTCATCGAAAGAATTGCGGAAAGCGGCCTCGACTCTTGGGAATCGTGGTATGAGGTCTTCGGCTTGCCTCACACTTTTTTTGAGAGTCTTCAGATGAAAGTGCTGCGGACATTTTTGAACAGCCCTAGATTTCGAAGCGAGAGAAGACATGACCTGGAAGCGATTCTATGGTTATCAGCGGGAACCGGCAGAGTTTCTGCTGTCGAAGAATTGTTGCGTTATGACGAAGTCGATCCAAATATTTGCATCAATGGTACGACACTGCTGGCACTCGCGGCGGACAGCTATAACGCATGCAGAATAATCCCACTTTTGCTTTCTCGACAGGATCTTGACATCAATAGAGGCGACTGTGGAGGGGCAGCCCTGATGACTGCAGTGGAAGAAGGGGACCTTGACGTTGTGCAGGCGTTGCTGAAGGCTTCGGAGCTAGATGTTGATTACCGCGGGGGCGGCAGAAGGGACCATAAGATGAGGTTTAGATTGCAACGCGGGTACAACTATCAGGACTACCACCTGTCGAAGAAATTGGCTTTCAGAGGCTATTTGTGTTCAGGCGATTATGCAGACACGCGGACGCCTCTCCTGGTCGCAGCTGAAGATGGTCAGGAAGAGATCTTTAGCATGATCTGCCAGCATCCAAGAACCGACCACTATGTCAGAGATGGGCTTGGGAGAACCTCTCTCTGGTGGGCGTCTAACTACACTAGTATAGGGATCATGCGGAAGATACTGGCTTGCACACCGGACGTTGCACAGATCATCAACGTCCAGGATGACGAAGGTTGGGCACCGCTCCATATTGTCGCAAACTACGGCGATGTACGGATGGCAAGATTGCTACTTGGAAGTCCTGGGATTGACGTTAACGTGGCCACCAAGCAAGGATGGACACCGTTGCACATGGCCATGGTCAGCTGCAACCGGAAGTTGACGAAGCTGCTCCTTGGGCATCCCGGACTCGACACAAGCCTCAGAATAGACGACGGCCGGACTGCGTTTGATCTTCATGAGGGTTGTGAATGTCCGATATCTTCTGAGATAGCGCAACGTACCGGAACCTACGAGTCCGGCGAGCCAAGCACGCGAGTGTAATCAACCATATTTTTAGTGTATTACCTCTTGGGTATTGATTATTAGGTAGCCCTCAATAATACGACGATATTATTCGCGGACACGACAATAAGCCGTACGATAATTGAAACATGTCAAATTCAAGGTCACCTAGTAGCCACTGAACGGATAAACGCTTGCACCGTTGATGTGGAGGACAAGCAGACATGAACTCGGTGTATGCTGAGGAGAAAACATCAAAAGCCCTCAAATGCCTCGAACATCTGATGCCTGCGAGCACGTGGGGGCTGTTGCCAATTTGGCTGGCCTTTCAATTCGGCGCATGGTCGAACAAGGAAATTCGTCAAGCCGGGCGATCTGTTGCCGCCCTGAAATGAAATTTAGATTTGAGATCAATCCTTGTAGGCAAAGGAGGACGAGATTAGCACGGTTTTTCTACTGCCATGTCTCATGTCAGTCTTTCATCCATTCAAGCTCACACCAACAACAGCTTTCAGCAGATTTCCCTTGTACGCGACTCTCTGATGAGTCAAGACAATTCTGGTACTAGGTAAATGGCCATTTATCGTTGCGATTCTTTTACCACCAGCTCAGAGCCTAATGAATGCAGAGGTGGTGCAGCCACAAGCAACAGCACCGACCCGAAAGCAGCCGAAGCTGCACTTACAGCGGCTCTTCATGATGCTGTCAGGAGCGGTGACATTGCTGCCGCGAAGGATCTCATCATCCACAAGGGTGCCAAGGAAGACTCCCTTGACAGCCAAGGTCGGACGCCGATGATAATTGCTGCCCTCAACAGAGATGTGGCCATGGTCAAGATGCTTGGCCACGGCCATGACGCGTTCGCCTACCTTGCGGACAACTCAGGCACCACCCCGTTGATGATAGCAGCCAAGAATAACGACATAGAGATGGCCAAGGCATTTTGGCCTTTGGGCGGACGAAAGGGGCTACAAGACAACAACGGATGGACCGCCATGCACTTCGCGGCAGAGCAAGGATCTGCAGAAATGCTCAGAGCACTGTCCATGTCTCCTACCAAATATGCGCTCCGCAACTGCGATGGCTCAACGCCTTTGGATCTAGCAGCGAGTGGTGGACATGTTGAAGCTGTCGCGTTGATTCTTGAGATATGCAAGAAGAAGCTGAAGAAGAAAGATTTCAGTCTTCAAAATACAAACTTGGCCGGACGCACGCCCCTCCATTCTGCAGTTGTTGCGGGCTCTGTAGAAGCCGTGGAATTTCTGTATGAAGCGGAACCCCTTGCTTTGAATATTCCCGACAAGAATGGAGATACCCCCTTGAATTCAGCAGCGTCTAGGGGAGACTTGAAATTGACTGAGCTTCTGCTTTCATATGGGGGAGACAGAGACTTGCCCGATAACAAGGGAGAGACTCCGTTGACTAAGGCGTCTCGTGGAGGATTTGATGATGTCGCAAATTTAGTTGGTCGGTATCAACAGACCAAGGCGAATAATCCTCCGTACACATCCAGGTCAAAGTCGGGCAATATTCTCGGTAGAATTTTTAGAAGAAGTTAGCTAATATTAAAACACGAACGAAAGTTATTCATATCAAGTGAAATATAATTGACCGATGCCTCTATTTGAATATGACACATAACAATCACAATTTCCTGTACATAATGTGTTGACTATGAAGAAGGAGCGGGCTTGGTAGCCAACACATAGAGCCATTGTGGGCGAGATTGTTAGATGACAAAGTAGCTATCTTCGTAGACAGTGCATTAAGCAATTGTGACTTGAAAAAGATGGAAGCTAGAAGAGTACACGCAATGATGATACTTCCAATCTTGGTCTGATTTGTTTATCTCCTGGCTGTTGCATCCTCGGCCGTGCCTGGCAGGGGGCTTTCTGGGCGCTCAGTTCCGACCTCGATCACTTGCTCTAATTCTTCGGACCATTTGAGTCCAGCGTCTTCTAGTCTGCATGGCCCAAGTCGCCCTTCCTCGGCTGGTGCTCTTAGGACATCTTCTAGCTCCACTTGCTCCAGCACTTTAGGGTCATAGGAAAGACCAATGATTGACTTGCGCAATTGTTCAAGCCTTTCATTCGACTCGCAAAGAGAGATGGTAGGGTCGAATATTAGGTCGGTGATGCTCTGGAGGGGGGGGGGTGTTTGATCAATGACCCGAAACCAACGATTGTTCTGCTTAAAGATGCCAGCGATGCAAATGAAGGAAATGCACGGGACAGAAATGGGGATTTGGCCACGAATCTTGTGCAATTGCGCCGTCATCTCGTCCGGGCAGTGTGTCGACAGACCGTCCAATACATGTTTGAGCAGAAACGACGTGTTCAACATGAAGAACGGACTTATGGTCCCGGCTTCCCAGTCGTGTAGATTTACCATTTCGTCAATGTGGGTGAAATGGTCCAATCCCCCTCCTGGACGGATACCGACTGTGGCCGCCAGCCCCCACTGGTCCTGGTGTAGGGTTGTTTGGCTGCTCATGATCGCGACTAGTGCCTGTGGGGACGCCGTTTTACTAGGACCTGGGGTCGTCGTCCTCCATTCCAACTCCCACCGCAGTGATGATTGACCGAGTTGCCACAGTGCCGTTGTGCGGTTCGCCACAATGGTCAGTAAATGGCGCTCTGGACGCCCCTCCACGTATGCTTGAGCAGCTGCCAAATCAGGACCGCAGGACATCAGCTGAGGCACTGCCTTCACTAATGCTTGCCGCCTGCCCAAATCCCAGTCGTCCAAATCCTCCCAAAAGTCGAAAAAGCCTCCCCACTGCCACAATCGCAGCACCTCGGTGGCTGCTGAGGCTTCTGCTTTCTGAAACAATGGCATGGCCGCGTCATAAAGATCTGGAAAAAACACCATGTGACCCAAGAAGGAGGGCCGAGGCAGAACCCGTTCTTGCAGCAGTCCCGCGTTATAGAAACTCTCCGCCATGGCCAACCACTCACTAGCCTCATTCACCCAGTCATTTTCATCAGATTGGAACCGAGATAAACACTCTAGAACCCTCATTGGATCCCGCGCTTTTCCCAGTCCTTCAGCCCTCGTCTTAATTCGTGACTTGCAAAATGCGCCTTTCGTTATTTGGGTGAGGGTTTCCGTCGCCGACAACTTTCCGTAACTGAGAATCTGCTGACCAGCCTCTGTATCAACCAGAAAATCATGCGCAGTGCGATGCACAAAGTCCACGCACCTCGATACGTTGTCAAACTCAAATTCAACGCTGTAATCAAGAGGTTGGACTTCCAGAAGCCCTGCGCAACGGATGCGAATATCTTTTTTCACCCTCTCACACACGCCCACAATCTCTTCAGAGCTGGTCTCATAGCCCACGTTTAAAAGCCTTTCCTGAAGATTTTCATCTTTCCAGCATGCAATATCGAATAATGATACATCCTCTAATCTGAGAGAGATATCGGCAGCTGCATCCGCGTTTTTGAGTTCTTGAAATCGGATTAAGAATTTAAAGAATAGAGCCGCTGATTCTCGGTAGACTTTTGAATCTTGATTTAACCTCTTCCACATGTCAGTGTACAGGTCCGTGATATCGCTTGGAAGATCTTTTAGACGTGTTATTAAAAACTCGTCCGAGTCCTCATTTTCGATGCCATTCTCAACACTTTGCATCGTCAGCTGCAACCAAAGAAAAACCCCCTCGGCTTTCTCAATAAGTAACTTCGCCACCGCATTCAGCGTTGGAGATGAGATTTGTCCACGTTGTTCGAATTTACCAAGTCTTTTTTGTATAAGAGACTCCATATCGGGCCTTGTCAGCTCTTGAAGTTTGAGGTTAGGTGTCGTGCTGAAGCTTTCTAGCAACCGTTGCTCTGGGCGGCTTGAAACGCATAGCTTTACCTCCTCATGTCGAGCAAACCTTTTTACTTTCTCCGCAAGATCCTTTTGTCCACCGTTTCCACAGTACTCGTCTAGGCCGTCGATGAAAATGCACACAGGTCCTCGATCCACCGTCGACCGCAAGATGTAATATAAAATCTTATCAAGTTCAGGAGCCGACCAATCATTGACATATGTCTTTTTCTTCGCGAATGAAAACTCGTTAAGAATTCGTGTCATGATAAGCTCATTGTCGTCAATCAATTGGTGAATTAGCGAGCAATACAAGCCCTGGATGTTGTTCTCCATTGTTGAGCCGATTTTCCAAAAGTAGTGTGATAGAATCCGACTGTGTGGACACCATTGGTCCAAGAGCTTTTGGGTCGCTTCATGGTTGACTATGTATTTCATAAGCGTGCTTTTTCCCGCGCCCGGTTTGCCTTGGATCCAGAACAAAGGTTCATGTGATGTTAGCCAGCCCACGAAGCTTTGCCAAACTAAGTCGATCGCTTGGGTCTTTGGAGAATTCTTTCTGTTGGTAGTGTTGGTATATGAGCGAAATATCCGTCCAAAAGTAGCATCTTGAGGGTCTAAAATAGTATTCCGCCGGGAATTCATGGCTGGAAATTCGAAGCTCTTTCGAAGACGCTCATTTTGCGCTTTTGTTGCTGCGTCCTTTTCATGCGTTTTCAATAGACTTTCATTATGGTCTTTTATGTCTTGTTTGGCTATCCCAAACTCGCCAGTGATATGAGCCTGAGTAGAGGCGGTTTGTCGATTCAGGAGATCTTCGAGTTTTGTATATCCTTTTTCAAGGTTGGCAATGAAGACTTGAACATCACTGCCAAGCTTGCGAAAACCTGGGTCTTGAGTCAAGTTGTTCGCTTTAGTTGTGGCCCTAAGTGAAACTTGTTAATCTGGCAGGGCAGATAGATTCATTGCGGCTTTTACTCACCAAATCTGAGTGATGAGCAATGCCTGCATTTGTTCTCTGCAGGAGCATAAACTTTCGTTGAGCTTTTTAAGCTTCGGCTTTTTCCAAAAAGACATGGATGCGACTTTTAATGTAATCAACAAGTTGCCGCTCGCGTCAAGGCTTGTGATCTTTTCGACCTCTGATTTGAGCCGAGATGCGATTTTCGTGCATTCCCTAGCGATACGCGCTATTTCTTGACCCAAGGTGTCATTATTGCAGCCTGAGGCAATCTGAGAAATGTCTTTGTTTAGGTTCTTGTTGTTTTTGTCGCAAATAGTTGTCACTTTTTCGGCGGCCACGACCATTGACCTAGCAATTTCCTCAATATCGGCATCAGGCGTCTTCTGATTGTGATATAGCGCAATGCAGATATTGAGAGTCTCATGAGCGAAGCTAATCGTCTGAAATATAGTACAAGCCAACCCGAGAACTTCGAAGCCAGACATGACGTGCGAGGTGAAACTGAGTCAGAGTTGTCGATGTGGTTAAGAACGGAGGGATTTTGATCTGCGATTTATCAGGACGAGGAAATGAAGTTTGAGGAGAAAGAGGGGTAGCCTGTAAGCAATAGTCTTGCATATCGTCGGCCAATACAATTTGACCAAGTGGCATATTACATGTGCATATGGCGTGGTGGCTGTGCGACCTATCAAAAGTGCGACCTATCAGAACCGCTACCATCTGCATCGGTACTGCCCTCACAGCTCCCTGGAGAATATCTAGTAGGGCCTGAACAATCCTTGATCATGGCTTCTCGGTTGGTAGGACCTATGTTGTGTTGTCCTTGTATTGGACGATCCCCCCTTGGGGACGAAAGACAGCGACGTGGCATACATGTAGCTTTATGGACCTCTATGATAAGGTGGTATAGCGTACTCTCGTCAAAAGCAAGTGCGCTGGAAGGCTGCACTGACGGCCATCATTACTTGCCTTCTCCACAGAGACATAATTACTAACAATCTCATGCTGAATGAGGATGAAAGAAAAACCCTTCCTAGACACACTTCTTGATCGGCCTTCACCTTACTATCTAGGCCAAAGAGAAGCTGCTTCTAGAGCAAAGATGAAGATTGAAAAAGGAGCGTTCATAGCTATAGGAACGCTGCTTCCTAATAAGGCTATTTCGTAATGGTGAGCAGGTATTGTTGAAGCTATCCGGCCACAATTGCAACATATTGCCATCCCATTCCCATGGTCCAGGGAATCGAGTCTTCGATTTTGAACGTCCCTTAGGCGGGCACTCGTGGCGTCCTCACCGATGCTTGCAACTTCATGCCGACTCATTTCCCGTTAACAATCAACGAATGGGGGGCATAAACCATCCATGGTTGTGTTTTCCATCGCTGGTTCGTTTTTGTTATTTTGTTGGCGAATATATCTATATACCGGCTTGTCTAGTGTCGAATAACGATTTTGTGGTCAAGGAATCGAGGGCAATGTTGCCCAGTACTTGGAGGCTAGCCGATCGAATCGGCGTCTGCTAAGACTTTTGGCTATAGACATTTCTTTGACGAATTTGGTCGCGAGAACGGGAACGGAGATTAGAGGAGACCGGTTTGATTCTTCAGTAGTTAACCACGAAGAGAAAAACATCTCGAGATCACAATGGAACAGAAAAAAAGGGGCTGAGGGACAACGCTCAGTGGTCACGTCTCGCGACACACGACAGCGGGATCGCAAGACTTGAGCGGCGGGTGGAGCGCAAGCCTTCAGTACCCAAATCAACTGGGATTTTACTCATGGGATCAGTTCAGACAAGCACACAATAAGTGTCATGATGCACTTGTACGACGAGGAATTGGCTCTGCAAACTGTCGATTGCAGATCACACCCCTTTTGCGTCCTGGCAGCTGGCCCTATGGGGTCGAATGGCTTTTCCACAAAAGGCCCAACCACAATGGTTAATAATTCTGGCTGATGAATATTAGAGGGAATAATTGAGGGCCTACGAGTCACAGAGTGAAAGGAAGATATGAGAAGTCAATGAGAAACGTCATTTTCTGACGGCCTGCTGATTGCGAATATTTGACTACCCAATGCGCTCCCTTGGCTCTATTATTGCAGGGCCTCGTGGTCTTGGATCTTGATGGCTCGTAAGGTTTCCACCTGAGCGTGGCTGCCAAAGCCGTACAATCAGAGACTCCACGGGACGTTGATGGCGGATACAGAGGGCCGGATGATGTCCAATGGTAACGGCGAGGTTGTTGCCCGGAGGCAAGTTTCCGTCGGCCCGAGGCAGGGGTGGCAGGGGGCATGTCAGATTGTCACGATGCTTCAGCGGATGTGGGCATGGTCTGCGGACGAGCACTGACCGTGGATTCTCCAAAGTAGAGCTCGATGCGGACACTTGAAAAGCCACTCTGGAGGAGATGTGGTGGAATCAAATCTGTAACTAGAAAGTTGCCCGACAGATCTTTGCTATGGGCCAAGAAGTCAACTACCATCATAATCACGACGGTTAACAGACGTCCAAAGAAAGACAAGTCGGTGCTGGCAGCCATCAGTCTAGGTTTAGATCTCCGCTGAAGATTGGGTGTATGTGCTAAGAAACGCGCATTCGCACTCCGGCTCACATATGGCATCATTTCGCGATGAACAACTTAGTAAGCGGAATACGTCCCTGCCCTTGACTTTACTGGCATCTCATATTCTCTGCAAAATCATTTCGAGCTGGCGTAGTGGTTGCATGTAACATAACACACTTATTCATTGTGTTGAGATGTCGAGTCTGGTATCTTCTATTGTTGTTTGACTTTATACTCGAACTCTTTTCCGTAATATAACACACCAAACTTGTTGAATAAAGAAACCCATTGGTCTTTGTATTTGAATATATCATCACCAAGAGGGTTTTAGAGTCTACTGGCGCTGAGTCAAGAGCGAAGTTTGATCAGACTCAAGAAACAACGTTGTCTCTGACTCACTACTAATGCTTTACGTCCCGTCTATCGTTCGATCCGGGGTTAAGCTGCAGACGGGAGAAATCGGGAAAAGCTCCGTCAATCTTGGGGTAAGTACATTGCTACTGTGTGGTTGCACCTCGTATATCTTGCAATGTTACTACTTATTTGGGCATCGGAGGGTTGTGGGCACTATCTAAAACAGCATCTTGTATCGTCTCACTTTCTACATCAGGGGACGGAAACGCAGATCCCGTCCAATGGCAACCTACGAAAGAATGTATCTCAACATTCAAGGATGTGTACGAAATGCTGCGTCGTGACAGAACATATAAAGAGCTTCACTCACTCTCAAGGTTACTGCCTTATGTTTATTCCTTAAGCTTATTTCCACCCTTAGGATATAATTGTCCCATATCGAAAACAATCAAAATGCTTCGTCTCGCCGTAGCTTCGGCTTTTGCAAGCCTTCTGGCTGTAGCCAATGCCCACGGGGGCGCTATGCACTACATTATTGACGGAGAAGTGTACACCGGGTATGTGACCCAAGCTCATTGAAATACTGCTCTTTGGGCCAAGACGAAGGCTGATGAGTGATTCTGGGTATAGCAACTGGGACGACCTCCACAATACCGAGGGGAGCATCCAGCGGCAGTGGAACTGGGGCGGCGTCACGAAACTAAACGACCCGTACCTGGCGTGCGGCAACAATGGCGTGCCGCATACCAACTCGTACTATGCGCCCATTGTGGCCGGCAACACCGTCACGGCAAATTACTCCTTTGACACTGTGAGCGAGTCGATTGGGAGGGCGTGGACCTTCGGGCACCCGTACGGTGCGATGCTGGCTTACATGGCCGCTTGTCCCGAGGAGGGCTGCGAACGCGTTGATCTCAATGCTCCCATTTGGTTCGTTTCTGCTAACCAAGTGCCAACGCTCGAACGCTGTGCCTTGTCATTAGGCATATTCATTTTGGTCAGAGGAAATTTGCTAACATTGGTTGCAGGTTCAAAGTCTGGGAGGCCGGCCTGTTGAGCGGCACTTGGGCCAAAGGGTACTGGGCCATGAAGGACGTGTTTGAAGGCGCCGAACTGGACATTTCCACCCCAACGTCTCTCAAACCTGGAAAGTACATTTTGCGCCATGAGATGCTTAATCTGCAGACTGGACCCGCACAGTGGTTCCCAAACTGCATTCAACTCGAGGTCAGCGGGTCAGGCGACAGTCTTCCATCAGCTGAGGATCTCGTGGCGTTCCCTGGAGCATATGACAAGGTCAGTGAGATCGATATTCTTTGATGTTGAGGTTTCGGAATTTTTGGTCTCTTGGAGTTTTATTCACTCTTTTCGGTTGCTGACTTTTTCTTCTCGGTAGGATGAGGAGAAGAGTTTCACTGTCAAAGGGGGCAGCCCATGGTTTTACGTCACTCATGGCAATGATACAGTAAGTCAAACTCTCTTTGTGCTATTGATCGCAGCCACTGACTTGGTGAAGGTCTATCCGATGCCTGGACCAGAAATTTGGCAAGGATGATTAACCAGAGATGCTGACACAATTGGAAAACACGGTTGGCAACTTTGAGTGGATAGCTAAATTGTGTCCTTGTGGATCTCATGTTGACGGACGATGTTCTTATGCCACAAGACTTAGACGGTATCGACACTGAAGAATACGAATGGAACTATGTCTTCTCCATTGGCACACTCATATTTTCAACGTACAAGTACAGGATGCTTCATTATTACTTGAAATATACGTAGTTTTCCTAAATGACGATGTAACAAAAGACCCTCTCACGACTTGTTCTGTAGCTTGATCTACTGGACTACCAAAAATATGTCAAGTTGCAGAGATCAAGCACTAAATCTTTCAATCTCAGAATATGACCAGCTCTTTTCCTGGAGTCTTATATCTTCTATAGTAGTTAATTAGTTGTTACTCTTACAGTTATACTAAGGAGAGCCTATAATGTAATAATTAAAGTAACTCGACATATAAGCTAGCGGTGAGTATAGACCTTTAGAAAGGCTACATGTTTAACCTTCTTAACTTTAATGTTTTGGTTAATGTCGTTTAATAGCTAAGATATTTGCATTGTATTCCAGAGTAAAAATAAGTAAAGTTGAAAACATATGTATGATATTGCTCAGATTAACTCAGTGGAGAGGATATTCTCTATGGGCCTTTGTCACACAACATTATGGAACATTAGGATCGTCAGGGGGAGGTTCCATGTACTGTAGATCATCGAACAAGCTGTTGAGAGCGGCGCGAATAACCTGCAAGTTTGTCGGAGTTCGTCCGGCATTCTCCTCCGCTGTGAAAGCGGCAGCAATGCGCACAAGCTGATCCGCAACCCAAGTTCGGGCCCTTCTCGTGCGTGTCCGATACCAGTTCGCATCATGTTCCAAATGTAGAGCATGAAGCCGCCCAAGCCCCAGTACTGATGTGGAAATGGACCGCGAGGTTTCTAGGAGCGCCCGACGATTGGCTTGGATTCTGGGGCGAGCATCAGGATGATTGATGTACCGAAACACGGCGATTGCCTGCACGAATTAGAAATTAAGAAGACAGAATTGAGATTAAAGAAAAGCGGATGAAAACGAACCTCCCGTATGGGCTGCAGGAGCTCCTCGTGCCCTGTTCCCCCAATCGCCGTCTCAAGAAGGTTTGTCATCGTGGTTATAGATCGAGGGGAAGTATCTTCGGTGAATATAGCACCCTTGATTTGGTTCACACCGCGCTCAAGAATGAGCAAAGGCGCCCGATTGCCCTGAGAGCCAAACTGGTCCATTAAATAGCCATTGGGAGTTCTAATGCCTCGACTGCTTCCTGTGCGAGTATCGGCTGGGTTCAGCAACTGGTTGTTCCACAAGTTTGCCAAGTCTCTAGGGTCAATTGGTGAGGTTTGGGCTCTTGAGCCGTCCGGCAATATGCCTGTACCAGCAGTCCAAATTAAAGAAGCCACATATTGTAACTAAATCAAGATATATTAGGACCGCAAGTATAACGATGCAAAGAATGAATATTCTTAGAACTCACATCTGGGTTGTGCTCGGTATCATATCCGTCCTCAAGCTCCTGGTTGGTCAGGGACCAACGATCCACAACCTCAATAGTGGTCGAGAAACAAGTGGTGCCACTTAGCCTATGTCGAAAAACAAATGAGCTTACTTGAAAACCTTGAACGGGTTAGGGAATGTTGGAAAGCCTACCTGAACACATTTGTCGATGCTGGTGTACTGCGTGTGGGAGCATGCAACACAGTAGGTCCTGTGTATCTCCTGGGTTCCATAACCACTCTAGCAAGAAAGAGAAGCGTATTGAAATCATAGAAATCCCTGGTAAACGATCGCTTCTTATCTCCTTGTATGTGAACGTCGCCCGATGCACTATCGACACTGTCCAAGAAGCAGTCCGTAGGATCACACTGGTCCTCGTCTGAGAAATCGTCCGCGTATGAATCTTTGGCGCAGCTGGACTCGTCACCAGAACAATTCTTGTTGTCGCACGGCGTGGGAGCGATAGCATCCAAATTTGGTGTGCAACATAGCGCCTTTCTTCGGCCCCCTGGAGTAGAAATCAGAATCTAAATATCATGTATAACATGATGAGACTACCAGGAGAGAACTCACAGTTGCAGCCAGACCGCACGCTATCTCCAGTCGTATCCGTTGCCAACGTAACTTCCCTATCATTGCACGTAATATCTGCACAATCCCCCTGTCCGACCCAGTGACAGTTGGTGAAGGGGGGTTGCCTATTCTTGCAGCAATATTATGTGCTCCAAAGAGTATTGCACGTATGAGGGTAGCTGATCGCTGAGGCAACTTTTTTCTCGTCGCTGTCACATTTCTCTCCGCTATTACGCGTTATGAGTGTGTTTTCAGTCGGGGCTATAAGCCTGAGAGGTGTGGGTGTGATGCTTACCACTTCGTCCAGGCGCAATCCTTTGTCAAATCAGTGAAGTTGTGCGCCTGACAGCAGAACACCTTGTGTCCCCGAGTACACGAAGACTCGCCTGATTCATTCTCGAATCCGCCCCCGGTTTTGGAATCGTACAGCGTGACCTCGCCTGCATGACACTGTCCATTGCAATCACTGCCACTACCTCGCCATGTGCAGAATGTGGGCTTTGTGTTGGTTTTGCAACAAATGGGTTTTGAGCCTACCTGTTTGATGCAAATTAGTTACCTGTTCACTCTCAAGACCGAACAGGCCAATGTGACTAGAGGTCTTACACTACCGCATCCACTCTTATCGTATCCAACCATGGAGTATCCGGCACCACACTTGACGATGTCACGATCTACGCACTGCTTAAATAAGAAGCAGTCGTTCCGAAGCTCTGATGTAACAAGGCTGGATGATTGCGAGAGCGCATAGTCGCGATGAGCTACATTGTCAATCTCATTATTGGGTTTGATTTTCTTGCCAAACAACCCCTCATGAGCGGACCATTCATAGTCATCTAGTCATTGAATTAGCATAGATGATAACCTTCAGAAAATATCTGTCAAAGTATTGACTTACCGAGATCAGCGGCCCATATAAGCGATCCAGAGAGGCCAATTTTGTTGGCCCAATCGACTTTTTGCTTGAAGGTGGTCGAGTCGTCATATGAAATCCATTGGTTCGTATCCCAAGAGAAGTACTTCACTGCTGCCTCTTCATCATGGTGAACTTCTATGGAAGGTTTCTTGTTCAGGATATCTTGAATCTCGTAGGGCGCAAGGTAGCCGCTGGTAGCCGTACATGCTCCTGGGTGAGAGCCGCCGCTGAATCGGCAACCTGGCTTAGAACAATTGGGATCCTTGAGCGTGAAGCTTCGTCCGTAGAATCCAAAGCCAAGCGCAATCTTATCAGGAGGAACACCGACTCTCCAGAGAAGCTCTGTTGCTCGCTTTATTTCAGTCAAATTGGTGTGCGGTTGCACCACATTGCCACTTTAAAAGTTCTCTGTCAGACAACCTCTTCAACTGCAGGCTTTCGGCGCTTACATTTCATTTTCGCGATCCCATATTCCATGAATATCGTAACTCATCTTTTAAAAAGGTTAGAAAGTTCTCAACACGTCAACTCCTCGTGAACTGAAGCCAATACTTACAAGATTTGTCCAATCAGCATATTTCATCAATCCAGGCATGTCGAACCACCGCAGATACCAATAAGATGCAGGAATAGTGAATGTAAGTTCATAGCCCTTTTTTGCTTTATCGAACGCACTTCTAATAGAGGCGAAGAGTAGAACCATATTAGCTGTATCTTCATCTTTGCCGCCTCGGTCAGGAGCTCCGGGGTACTCCCTTCAAAAACCAAATCAGTTAAAGTCCAATAAGGTAAAATGATAGCAACATACCAATCGAGATCAAGTCCATCAAATCCATAGGTGGACAAGAAGTGGACAATCTGAGAAGAAAACTTGGCACGTTTAGTGGCATCGGCAGATATTTCTCCCAACAACGGTTGCGTGACCGTTCCATTGTCTGAGAAGGTCCATCCGCCCACACTTATAAACACTTTAAGCCCAGGGTTCAATTTCTTAAGGTTAGTAGTGTCCGTGAAAAGACTTGTTGCAATAGTACCGTCCATTGGTACAATAGCATAGGTACCGGGCTCCACAAACGCAAATGCGAAGTTGATATGAGTCAAGGCAGACACTGGCAACGGTCAGGAGTCTTCGAATTTCACATCTCTTCCCATTGGAATACTTACGCGGCAAATCGACCGGCAAAGTCTGGTGGCATTTTGATACTGCATTCCACCCCTTATAATACCCAATGACTGATTATTGGTCAGATCAACTCTAATCTGTTGCTTGACAAGGGAAGTCCATACCTCTCTTGAGAACATCACCTCCACCGCTCCCCGAAGCAGGTGGGGGATCCGGGTGCTCCTCGCAATTGCTTTGGCATCTAGCATTACAGTAATCAGAGGCAGTCCCACAGAATCCAAACTCGCTGCAGCTAGTTCGTAGGCAAGATGAGACGACAGTTAGTTGCTGAGCCTATCTGAAGTTTTCCATCGTGAAGAGCATACCAAACATTGAGAGGGCACGACTGGCCAACAACTTCTGCGTATTTGCCACACTCCGCGTGGGCATCACAGTTCGACATACAACCATCCCCGCAATAGTCCGGTCCTGGAAGGTGTTCACTGTTAGAATCACAACATTAAGAATGATTCTTTTCGTTGAATTGCTCACCATAACCACAGTTACCCGATGCGCCACAGCAAGCTCGGTTACTGCAAGGCCGATCGGCGGCGCACGTATAGTCAGCAGCAATGTGAATTCCCAATGTTGCATTGGATGCTACAGCATTGTCGAGAGATCATTTGTAGTCACGAACAATAAGAGCTTGCTCGTTTCCCTGAGTCGTCTGAAAGTGCTGTGTATCGTAGTAAGAGAATAAAAAGACGATGGGAAGAATAACAATGATGTTAAGAGCTAGGCTTAGAACTAGCCGAGCTCTTGGAAAGAACATGGTGAATGTAATTTTCAATGCCAAAGAGTCATTTAAACAGCAGTGGACCGACCGCAAGACGTTAACACTGGTGTCTATGTTATTTTGTGGCTTTTGAACACCAAGATAGGCCAGAGGTCTTGTTTTTATTCAGTAAGCATTTAGTCTCATTTGGCCAGAGAACCCAGTATTTTATTCAGTTCTTGAATGCAACGAGCTGTCTGAGAGAGGAGATAGTGGCAACCCCTGTTCAAAATACTGATCTGGTGATGCATGTTTGATCTGACAATGATGATGGCATGAAATCAGGGGCCAGATCCTGAAAGCTTTGCGTATGTATTGAAATTTCATGATGGATGTGGCAGAGCATAGTCAGGAACATGGCATATTACTATCTGTTCTGGAAAGATGTTGCGGAAGTTGTTGGTCGTTGGCCCTCTTGGCAACGTGTAGTGAGACTGCTCTTTTTAATATTTCTTAAAACGATGAGGTTTTCAGGTGATGGGTGTCATTGTAAAAATACCATCGTCACAAGGCTGCCGAATATGAAACGGCCCGAACAGGTGACAGGTGCTTAAGATCCGCAGCAACTCCATGCTTCTTCCAATAGTGTTCCTCATGTACTACTAAATAACCAGCTCCTTGCCTAATAGAGACGATGAAGTGACATGTTTTCTCATATCTGTATGCATGAGAACCGTTATGTGATGAAGGAATCTTAGTCAGGTCATACCCAAGAGCTAGCTCCTGTAATCAAAGGGATCTTATGGCCTGGCGGTTCATGGTGATGACGTGACATCCATTCCCGCCAAGCTTGGTCTGGACAACATGAGATTTTATCCTTAATTTATCATTTGCGCTGTATTCCAATGCATTTGTCTCCCATCTACATAACTTGGCTTTAAATTATTTAACTAGAATTTATTCGACTCTGCAACTGACATCCTGGTTCTTTGGGAAGCCATCAATGTGTGTCAAGATGGACACTCTATTCTCGTGGCTCGTGTTTCTTGCCCTGCAGGTCGGACTGTATCAGACAGCCGTGGCGCAACAATTCTCTTTCTACAAATATCCGTATGGCAGTCACAATATGTCTGAAGGGTGTCTCCAGGCACTAAACACGACGGTTGACTGCGATAACATACTCTATCTTTCCATGGGAGATTTGTGAGTCATTTTGAAACCCGAGATCCCAAACGTCGGACTCGGGAAGTTGACCCTAGCTCGACATCTTGCTGACCATACCGACGCCACTTTTTAGCACAGGCATCGCAGACATCTTAAGTCAGGATTTACTATCTAATCTCTGCACCGCCAGCTGCAGGATCAGTCTTCAGAAGCTGCGTTCTACTATACAGAGTTCATGCACCAGTTCCCAAGACGCCTTGGTTCGCGATGGCTATGCGTATCCAGGTATGCTCGGCTGGATATAGTAGATGGGGCCAATGTTCACTTCTGAATTGGCCGTTTGACTGATCATTGACAGCGACATTCTTTGTTGACCGCTATCTTCTTACGTACGACATCTCCTGTTACAAAGACAAGTCAGTATTATTTTCGTACCTTATATTTCGTTCAAATTAGCTTATATTCTTTCAAAGAAGTACTGGAGCATTTTGTGACTTGATGATTGGAGATTGGCGGAACAACACCAACATGAGCGGGGCATATGATTGTGAGGACTGTATCCTTGGTCTATGGAGGATGCAGCTCCAATCTCCACTTGAATATGACATCAATTTCGCCAAAGATTTTGCATCAGTCACTTCGAGTTGCGGTGCCGACGGGTACAGTTACACTACCCCAGAAGTATATGGCTCATCACGCTCTACCACCACCACCAGCACGTCCACCGCGGCATCTCCGTGCTCGACGCCATACACTGTCGCCGCTGGAGATACGTGCGAAAGCATTGCGGCGAGCCAGAACGTTTCAAGCTATGGCTTAATAGCACAGAATGACCTTGATATTTTCTGCAAAACCCTCCCGGCTAGCGGACAAACCATCTGCTTGCCCCCCACGTGCCGTATACACAGGCTCCTGCACCATCATACATGTGCCTTTTTAGCGCAACAATTTGGCATCTCTAGAGTCCAGTTGGTTTCCTGGAATGCTAATCTAGATCCAGACTGTTACAACATATATCTATGGACCAACTCTACGATTTGTGTCGGGTAGGTTTCTCAACTCTCTTCCCAAAATCGACATACTAATGACCAGATAGTCCTCCTGGCACGATCACAACCCCGGCGCCCCTTCCTGAGCCGACTGTGGCTCCAGTGCCCCCAAATGCCGCCCCGGGCTCCAATACAAGATGCGCCGCGTGGTACGAGGTAACTACATGCCTTCATCTTGGAAGCTGAGGTCGCTATATTGAAAGAATATCTATAGGTCGTGTCCGGAGACTATTGCGCCAAGATCGCGCTTGATTCAAGCATTTCCCTCAAGGACTTTTATTTCTTGAACCCCGTGCTGAATGAGGGTTGCTCTAATCTTGAACGTGAGGTATCCTACTGTGTGGCCGCGGTCGGAGACATCACCACATATCCAGGATATGTTATTGAGATGCCATCAACAAGCTTTACAAGGCCCACACCCACAACAACCGGGGTTGTCTTGCCTACAGAGACATTGAACCCTCACGCCCCCGGGACTCTGGATAATTGTACAGAGTACACCAATTTTGTCGATCCAGCACCTTATCTGAAGGAGTTTGGCGTAGTGCCATGGCCCGAGGAGTTGAATCTTTGTACATCATTTGCCGGAAAATATGATGTCAGTGTTTCTCAGCTTTTGAGCTGGAATCCTAGTCTTTCGAGCGCGAAATGCGAGTTTCTGGCAGGCTACAGTTACTGCGTTCGTCGTGCCAATCCAGGTATGTCCCCTTCCTACCAGTCCCCGGGCAAAACAGTCGACAAAGCCTCAACGGATCGCTGACATTCCAATCAGCAACAGAAACGACGACGAATGGTGCTACTGAGACATCGGTGATAACAAGCTCGACATCGACAGAGACAGAGACGCAACCCGCTCCGGCACCAAGTCCGACCCAACCGGGGACAATTTCATCTTGTGTCAAGTACCACTTTGTGAAGGCAGACGATGGCGCGTGTGACGGAATCATTGCAATGTACGGGCTCAACAGGGATGACTTTTTCAAGTGGAACACGCAGGTTGGGGAGTACTGCGAGTTATTGTGGCTGGACTACTACGTGTGCGTTGGAGTGTGAATTCAGCAACTAGTCTCAGAATAAAACCATGCACCTCAAGGTAGACTGTAATCAGCCCGAATCGATGAATTATTATTGAAAATGTATACGGGCGGCACCAAGTTGGGTTACACCTCCCCCCCCTGGCTTAGACAGGCATAGACTGGTGCGACCCCTCAGGATATATCTCGGGAGGCCTGAGAATTCTCCCACGTGAATCCGTCAACCTCTCCCTATGAAGTTTGTCATACTGCCCGGGGATCATGCGAAGACTAAGATACATCCACCCGGGATACTCCCTGGTGCAACCTTCAAGATCGGGATATCCACCCCGGCCTTCTCCTCCAGGCTCACAATCCAAGTCAATCATGGCACAAACAACAGCCGGCGACCGACCGCTTCGGGAGCTAGAACCTTCCCACTCGACACGTTTCTGGAGAGTATCGAGACATTTTTGGTCCACGTAGATGCAAAACCGAAATCTAGGGATGGACTGTGCAATCGGGTTGTCCCAACCGGGGCCACCCTTTTCCTGGTCTTGATTGGCATCGACCCAAGTCTCGAAATGGTCTCGCACCGCCGCCTTGAGCGCGTTGTTCAATGTTGATGGGTCCTCAACAACGGTCATGTCAAGATATTGGGTCAAGAGAAGGTCTGTGCCGCAGACTCCAAGGGACCAGGCGATTTCCTTGTGCATAAACGCAAGGTATCGATTCCAGGCAGCGTCGTCGGAATACGTGCATCTATAAATGACAAATCCCCATGTATGGAACCCGGTTTGCTGCATCGCGTGAATCGTGTGGCCATGAGGTTGGTCGGCCAGATTAAAACGATTCAACTGTGGCCATCTTGCCAGGCTTTCACCTTCGTACTCGGCCATCGCGAGGAATGGCTAGCGCTGAGTTGGAAACACGGGTATGCTCAGGGTGGTGTTGTTCTTCGTGGGACAGGATTCCCAACGTGCGTGAAGGTAAGGGGGGGATGAATATATACCTAGGCAGCAGTCTTCCCCGTCGGTTGCCAGCTTATCTAATCGGGTATTATGACGCGAAAGTCACGAGATGCCAGTGCAGCAGCCATGTAATTACTGCAGAATCTTGCTGCCTCAGAGAAATCCATGAATACTATGTCTTTTCTATATTGAAATGACTAAACTATCTTTTCCCCAGGCAAACAACAGTGAGGAGTACCAGGCATGTGCCACAGTGTTCAGATCCCACCCGCTTGTTCAAGCCATATTACTAGATGTGGCAAGTCATGGCGCAAGATCGCCAAGAGGCTCTCCCCGGCTTTCAGTACCAAGTCGCTTAGAACCAAGGGGCCAACCATGCACATGTATATTGATATGTTAGTCGACACGGTGCGTTAATGTGGTGGGAGCGTTGACGACGTAAACCTGAGGCGGTGGTTCATGTGGCTGGCCATAGACTTGTCAGCCGACGGAGAAGATCAAAGAAGAAGCTATAAGAACTAAGATAAGAATAGAATATAAGAAATAAATCTCGTTATTTAGCTACTATAATCTAAAAGACTAGTAATATAGTATTAAATAAGAGATTATAACTTCTCTAATACTACTAGATAGAACTATATTAAGAGGTTAGACTTATAAGACTATTATAGTAAACTATAGCTTAAATTTAAGCTATAAAAAGCTTTAATATATTTTAATAGAAGCTTGAGATAAAGCTAAAATAATTGATTTAGAGAGTTATAAATACAGAGACTAGAGACTATCTACTATAATTCTATTATATAACTATAAAGATTAAAATACGTAAATATTAATTACTTAGATATTTATAAATAACTGTAGTTTAAGCTATCAAATTACTTAAACTAAAACTAGAGAGATATCTTAAACTAAAATGTTATATAATTAATAAATTAATGCTTTAAAAGTATTCCTTTTATTAAAAATAACCGCGTTTTCCACCAACTAGGCCTTCTTAACACTCTTCTCGTCCTCGGCGCCCCATTAGTTCATCATTCCGATGGGTTTAGATCGAAAAGACATAAGTTTAGGAGGTCCAATGCCTTTAGTCTTCCAGAAGAAAAGTATGTGCGAGTCTTTTTCTGCAATGTGAACCCTCACTCGAGGTATTATTGCAAACTTAAAATATACCAGGGCACCAAAAAGGTCAATTAGGAGCTCCAGCGCTGATTTGACAATGTCTGGTTTGGTTATTTGGCCTGCTCACATCTACTACAATCATGGATCTGCGACCTTGATTTTTCATCGCTCTCAGCTTGTTAAAGCCCTCTATGATGATTTACCCGAAAACGCTAAGAATCGCTATCTTCCCAGCAAAAAGGTCGCCAGTATCAGCTTAACTTCAACCGGTGTGGAGGTGAGTTGTGTCGACGGGAGTTTACCCAGGCTCCATCGTCATTGGTTCAGATGGTGCTCATTCCAAAACTCGCTCCATCATGCGCCATCTAGCTCTCGAAGTTGATCCATGTCTTGCTTCAGTCTGGGATCCTGAGCAACCGTTCACGGCGACATACCGGTGCCTCTGGGGGTCGTTTGATAGGCCTTCTGACCCGGGCGACAGTTATGAGACTCAAGGTCGAGGCCGCAGCACCGTCTATCTTACAGGCATCAACAAAAGCTGGATATTCCTATACGAGAAACTCCTCCCGGCGCCCGAAGACGAGGGTCAGTTACAGCGAGAAAGAGATTCAGTCAACTCAAAACAAGCTTTGCGGATTGACGGCTGAATCGGAAACTCAGAGTCCGAGATGTCCTCGAGACCTCGCCCAACCTAGTCGGTATGGCCAATCTGGAAGAGCGTATAGCCAAAAACATTAGTTGGAACGGGTCAATCGTGCTGGTCGGCGACGCATGGCACAAGTTCACTCCCAATTCCGGGCTAGGCTTCAACAATGGGATTCAGGATGTAGTCTCGTTATGCAATCGGCTACACGCTCTGTCGGCGTCCTCTCAATTGTTTACGCCAGACGGAAGTCTAAATACAAAGTCCCTGCAGGATGCTTTTGATGGGTACCATCTAGAAAGAACAAAACCATTGCAAGTTGGTTACGCACGCTTGGCGCGGGCCACCCGCTTGTCGGCATGGGAAACCTCCAATTATTATATTCTAGCGCGGCAGATCCTTCCACTCGAGCGTTTACAGAAATTCCCCGTTAATCATAATATCTCCCCTGTCATCGCTTTTGGCCTTATTCTGGATTACGTCCCAGCCACCGAGGCGTTTCTAGGCAAAGTTCCCTGGGATAATCCCGTTAGAAGTAAACGACAACAAAGCGGATCATGGCAAACTTTTCCTGTTTCACATATCCCACAGCAGACCGGCTCGCCAGCGCATCGCAGCGTGTCCCAGTTAGTTACTATGCATATGTGCATGAGGCTAGACAGGCACAAGATAGAAGTCGAATCACCACACTATACAAACGATCTAATCGCTGACCTCTCACACTCGTTCCGTAGCCTCAACAAATACCACCGCCATACTATTGGCGCTACCACGCCCCAGCGAACACACCTTGCATCTGCCATGCCAGTAATTGGACTCCAGGCTGCGGTTAGCTAGGTCATTATCACAGTAAATCACACCGCTCAGCTAAAGCGACTTGTTACATCTCACGCACTATCCTTTTGCTTACATGGAATGACTTCACGACGTTGCAGAGAAATCGAAGTCATGCTAGCCCATCTTGGTTCTGTTACAAGGAGTCTGGATACCGATGCTGACCAGTTACCACTCGGCATGTTGACGTGTGCTGCCTCCCTGGCGCCCCCATTCAGTAGCATTTCAAGTCAGCGAATTTCGCGGCAGACAGGAAAACCTTAGCTTTTCTATAGCACCAAACACTGACTCTCCTCACGTCTATTATTCTGTCCTCTCTATAAATCAATGTGTTTTCGGTAAAATAGCTCTGAGCTTTGTGTCATTGCATCATCTGCAGAGGAGAGAAATCCATGGCAGTGTGGTATCAAATGATCGTGGAGCCACTTGCTGGATGGAGCTGTCAGCGAATAGCTGCCAGTAGCTTCCGTGTATGGCCCGCCCATCTGATCATTGTAGGAACTCATCAACTCTACTTTCATCCCTTAGCCAAGTTTCCCGGCCCAAGACTAGCCTCGGTAACGCAGTGGTACGAAATATTCTATGACATCTTTCACAAGGGACAATTTACCTTAGAAATACAGCGTATGCACCAAAAATATGATATGTTTCCGTCTCTTCTGCACCACAAAAAGAGGCAGTTCCTAAAACATTGGCATACATATCACTATGGCTGATTGCGGGCTCGACCCGTGAAGAACATGTTTCCAACATCCATGAGTGCCCCAGAAGCTGACAGAGTGCATACAGGACCTATAGTGCGCATCAACCCAGAGGAGCTTCACATAGATGACCCTGACTACTACGACGTGATCTATGCGACTGGTAAGCCCTACGACAAGATGCAGTACTTCTCGGACCGCCTTAATATGCCACTATCGTCATTCGCGACGGCTGAATCCGACCTACATAAGACTCGTCGCGCCGCGATAGCCTCTTTCTTCTCGAAACATAGAGTGTCTGCATATTATCACCTTATCCAAGATATAGTTGACCATCTGTCTAATCGCCTTTCGACTAAGTATGCCGGTACAGGCAAGGTATTAAACCTCGCCCAGGTGTGGGGTTCTATGACCTCTGATATTATTACCGACGTCGTCTTTGCAAGGCCAATGGGCTTCATCGATTGTGCCGACTTTGATTCCCAATTCACTACAGCTGTATGCGACATGCTGTTCACATCTCACATTAGAGCACACTTCCCTATCTTCTTGACAGCGATGAACATCTTACCAATTTGGTTGGTGAAAATTGGCCCCAGCAGTGAAGCCAGTAACCAAATATGAAGAGGTATGTCATTTCGTTAGCAAACGATTATCATTACGTTCAATATGGAAAGGGACTGCCATCCCTGGGTCATCGAATAGCATTTTCCATGTTGACTCATTATCACAGATGTTAGAGCTGCAGATCAAAGATATCTTAGCTGGACGCAATGAAGAGGCAAAGCTGTCATCTCATAAGACCGTCTTCCACGACATTTTTTCCTCGAACCTGCCTCCCTGAGAGCTCACTGCCGGCAGACTGCAAAACGAAGCTATGAGCGTAGTTGCGGCTGGAGTGGAGACGACACGGTGGGCACTGACTGTTGGCTGCTACCATATTCTCGCCAATGTAGCGATTGAACAACGCCTACGATCCGAGCTTGAACATGCTATACCGGATTCAACTCGAATGATCTCCGTACCAGAGTTGGAGAAGCTGCCATATTCGACAGCTGTCATTCAAGAGAGTAAGATTTGTCTTATGGATCTCGCTCTTCCGCAGTCTGATTCTTCCCTCAGTGTGGTGCAACAGGAAAGCTGATTCAACTAGGCCTCAGAATGGCATACGGATTGTGCCAATGGGACCACACCGCTGGGCCATCGCATGGTAGCTTTTTCTAAGGGCACCCGCATGTGCATCGGGATCAACATGGCCTACGCTGAGCTATATATTGGCCTCGCAACTATGTTCCGGCGACATCTTTTCAAGCTGTACGAGACGGACAGAACCGATGTTGAATTCTCCATTGACATGATAACACCGCAACCAAAGTTGAACTCCAAAGGGGTTCGTGTACTCGTGGAGTAAGGTTCTTGGTCATAGCGTGAGCTTGCAGCGGTTAGTTTCAGGGTTGATACCCTCAACACCAAACCCAACCGTACTAGTGTTATTATGATACGATGTGGATAGTTGATGTCTTTTCATAATGGATATTTCCCTCATGAGAGAGTAGTACATCTCCAAAACTTTTGACTCGTCACGACTTCTTCACGCTACTACAAGTAATGTGCTTTTTCTACCTAGAGTTTGCCTTGGTAGCTCTTTCACAAATATCACTCTTGCCGTACGCATGTTGACTAGAAGTGCCAGATGATACGGATCTTAAGGGTGAAAACCCTACATGGAGAATCATTGGACGAAAGTACACTTTGCTTTATATTTTGGATTCAATTTCATCTACTAAACACCGAGGGGATTTTGCTCATATCTAGTAGATCTATTAGACGAACAGGATGTTCCCAGCTTAGAAAATGTTCTTCAAATATGACAGCCTAATCTCATATCTCACGATATTTGTTTACATACAAAACAGGGCAGCGGACATGGCCCCCAGTAACACGGCCATGCTGACGTGGTAAGACGCGAAACCGGCACTGTCATCGTTGCTCTCACCGTTACTTGACTTCGTGCTCTCAGGCACCTTGGTCGAGTTGGCATTGTCCCAGGTCTTGTTATAAGAGTAGCCCGGATCGTCTGTGATGGTCTCGTTGAACTTGGAACCAGGCCCGTCGACAGATCCCTCCACGCACACCGAGGTGTCACCGCTCGAGTACCTGGCCACGGCGCGCCACAGCTGGGTGAGGTCACGGACCATGTCCCCAGTCCAGAAGATGCGGCAGTTGGCAGCCTCGTAGGTAAACGCGAGCGGACTGTCTGGGCTGGACGCGCGAATCTCGTCCAGGGCGTTGACTGAGTTGTCAAAGACCTTGACGGGCGAATTGCTGAGTGGCGCGGGCAATGAACGGATGTCACTGCTCGTCAAGTTGAGCTGTTGGAGGAGGGCGGCAGCACCACCCTTGATGGTGGTCTCTGCAGTGTTCATCAATGTGTTGATCGCAGTAATGGCAGAAGAGAAAAAGGTATGGGGCAGAATGTTGCTACCACGAGTTCCGCAGACGCCCTGCATGGGACCGTATTGCGGAATGCCACCGACAGCGACACTCTTGACCCCGCCATCAGTCTTCATCAACTCAGCAAAGAGAGTGCAGGTGCTGGCACACCAGCCATCGAGGAGGAGCGTGATGTCTTCGCCCTTCCAAGGTTGCTCGTAGGACAACTTGTTGGTACCGTAACCCGCCAGATATGGACCCATATCGACACCACTGGCCCACTGTGTATCAGAAAGATTGTAGCGCCCTGACTGGGTGAAATTGTCTCCATGGATATTACGAGGGTTGGAGAACTCTGTGTAGGAGGCCCAGTTTTCTCCATTGAGATTCATCGTATGGAGAGAACTCAAAGACGCCGCGCTTCCAGGTCCGGTGAAGACTGAATATATATCGCTTGGGGTGTTTTCATCCGACAGGACCGCAGTGATGACGGTGCCGATAGTTCTGAGGCTGGGTGTAGATCGTGCACGGAAAGACAAGGTGGGAAGGGTATCCAGGAAGAACTGGCGGAAGGTGTTGTAACCGAGCAAGAATGTGCCGCCGGTGTTGCCAGACAAGTCAATGACAATCTTCTTCATTCCAGCATCCTTGGCCTGGCGGATGAACTCTCCGATGGCGTCGCTAAAGCTCTGCGAGTCGGCCGAGTCTGAAGATGAGCTGGCGGTGGCGAAGCTGGGCAAACTGAGCACACCCACGGAGTCATTCTTGAGGAGGTACCCGGACACGAAACCACCGTTGGTGAAGTTGTCTTGCTTAACGATAGGGTCTTTTGGATAGCCAATTACAGGGACGAATTGAGAGCCCGTGCTGGTTGGCACGCTGCTCTGGGCCGATGTCGTAGCTCTGCTCCCGACGGTAGTAGTTGTAGTTTCGTCGCCGTCCCCATCACGCGTAGGAAGCCTCGTGCTAGCAACTCGTACATTGAAAATGGCATTGGGACTGGTCAAGTTCTGCTGAAGGAGGTTCCAGGAAGAAGCGGCTTGGTAGAGCCACTCGGAGCTTGTACCATTGGCAAAGCGAACTGTGATCGAAGGCCCGTTGTAAAAGTCGGTCGATTGAAATAGCGTAGGATAGTTTGACAGGCTGCTGGTAGAGCCTATAGTGCCGAAAAGCACCTGTGAGCTGTACATGATTGCGTTCCAGTCGGCGTGGGATTCGATGAGGCCGGTAGGGGCCTTCGTTTCGATATAGTTTCGGAGGTAGTCGAACACGGTTTGGTTGTTTATCTCGACAATCGGGGAGATGCCATTCCTGTTGAGCAGCACATCTGTAGAGGCGTAGACTTCAGGTAGGGATTTGCCATCAGAAGAAACTGAAATGAGGCCGTCAGGGAGCACCCACGAAAAGAGACCGAGGACACCTCCGTTGTATTTCATATGACCTTCGCGAGCGGTGATGAAGATTTGTTTTATTGCTACCTCCATCTCATAGGTGCTGTTGTATTTCCCATCGCTTAGATTCTGAGCAACTTGGTCAAGACGTCCCATGACATCGATAGGTAGCGACTGGTACGATTTAGGAGGGTCCTTCAGATAGGCGAGAGTAGTGTCGAACTCGTAATACCGCTTGAGAAGGTTGATGGTTGTGATGCTAGCATTGACATCAAGCGGCACTGCGTTTATACACTCGAATGCTTTCTGGGCGTCGAACCTCACATAGTATCCCAGATCGCCAGATTTCGGTAGTTTAATCTTCGACAGAGCTTGACTCTGAGAACTAGCCACGGACTGGCAGGCGTTCATAGTCTGGGATGGAGAGGCACTTCTGGTTGTCGTTGCCGCCAACGCAGCCGGCGCTTGGGAAGCTACGAGAGCCGCAAGCCAGAGGCTATTCGAGGGGAAGATCATGGCGCCGACAGGAACCCGATGATCGAAAAGTTGCAGAATTACTCTTGACTTGACAAACAGCAATCGTTGAAAGCGGTTGTACGATAGTGAGCTACATTATGTAGTTTTTCTATCACAATAGGCTAGGCTTCCAAGTTTAGTTGTCCCTTAAGCATACAAGGATAAAGCCTTGCAGGGCTTCTGCCAAGTAACTGCCGTAGTTTCCTGGATGGCCGATATATCCGTTCATGAGACGGTAAGCATTGTGCCTGTGTTAACTCGCTCGCCCTAGTCAATGCTCAGCCTTAAGTGAGACTGGGACGCGTGGCACAGCCTAGAGAACTGCCGAGCTTAAGCGCTTTACCTGAAGGAGGAAAAAAATGGTAATCGAGGCGAATTGCTTATACATGGGTACCACTGCCACCATTAATTAAAAACGGTATATTTGGTGGATATCCTTACAATATAATCTCTAACCCTGCGAATCTGACCTCAGAACTAACAAGCACTTGATTACAGCCCAACCAGGGGCAGATGTATCAGCCTCAAGCAAATTTTTTGCCACATGTTCACCCACCTTCGTCACGCCACAATTCGCTATTGGGGGCCTAGGTTATGTCCGGCGGTGACACAACTTTCTTCTCTTGGATTGTTCACAGATGAGGCGCCATTGGCTCCATTGAGACTAAGCAGAAAAAGATTGAGGTTTCTAAGACCAAAACAATCATGATAGAGCTAAGCCGGTATTTAAAGTATCCTCAGGTTTCACACGAGTTCGGAATATTTCCGCGGAGTTGCCCCATTGATCATTGTCAGACGGACTGTTGCCAAGACACGGCTTCTTCACGGGAATATTGGGTATCTCACAACTCGACCTCCCGAAGCAAAGTCGAGACGGACCAATTAGACGACCTAGCTAGCCGTAGTTTCTATCTACCTTGTCTCCATACACCGCTTGGCGGCGTCCTCATGGGTTCTAGTCTTGTGAGATGCCTTCCTTCGACAAATGGCTTGAAATCTTCGTTTCATATGTAATATGTTAAGTTAGGGTCTATCGTCTTGCTACGGTATTTTCAAGAAAACTTAGAACGGTATATAGATTTGTGACTTATAGCCTCTCTATTCTTTCTACAATCCAATTACCTATAACTGTACCTGGGTAGTTTATAAATAAACTTACAGGGCTGATGGTTATGGGGCAGCCTACGGCACTCCTACGTAAGGGTCCCACCTATGTAACAGGGATAGAATTCTTATTGACTGTTGGGCCTGCCGGTGAAGTGCACACTCCGACCAAAATAAACTTCTGCCTACTCTCCGCGTTTTCCCCCATATTCTTGTTGATTCAACGGTCGGGTAACCAAACAGCACCTCCCAATCACGAACACCCAAAGAGAGCACATTTAGACATTAACTTTTAATTGCTGGGAGCTGCACGTGGGATGATTTGAAAGGTACCGAAATTAGGTGTAAGCCGGGCAGCAAACGACTGATTAGCCGGCTTACGGGGATGTATCAGAGTCAATCGATTTCACCGACAATCCAACTGCTGGTGTAAAATCCAAGATCCTTGTCCGAGAAATATGCCTTAGTAGAGGATAGCGCGGAAACAGAATTGAACTTCGCCTTTCGGATCGGACCCGAACAGCCTCGAATGTCCGCGGTGGGCGGCGACCGTTGCATAACAAAGGCGACTCATTATTGGAATTGACTCAATAGAAATACGAGGAAGGATAAAAGTATTAGATGATCAATATGAACCGAAGTTACACTGACCAGGAGCTAGTTGTTGATGTTGATGTTGATGCAAAGTCAGATGATTGTGACGGCTTGTACCAAACCTGATAACCTTTCATCGTCAAAATCTAACCCTTCATTTATCCATTTTTGTCTTGGTGATTTCAACCTGCTCTCCATTACTCCCCAAAACTTTTCCTCGTTGAGATCAGCGAATCTGCCCATCCTGACAAAGGATTTATCTGGTGTTGGGGACTGGGAAACTTTTCTCAACACTAAACCAAAGACATGTGGGCCGTCATCGATATAAATGAGCATAAACAATAGCCTCTCCTGTTGACGGGCCAAAATAAATTGCCCTCGGCGTGTGCCCATGTTTTCAAGAGAGCAGTTCTCGTCCCATTATATTGTCAAGTCTGGCCCAATTAAACAACCTGCCTTTGAATCACCAGCCTGGCTGAACGAGGAAAGTTTGTAATCGGAGGAGGTTTCCATTTTGTTTCGGTCTTCCATTGGCTCCACACGAGCCCAGACAGCAATCCCTCGCAGTAACAGCTTGCAGGAGGTGAAACTGTGCGTGTTGAGTCGATCATCCGACTGAATAATAACATCAGTTACTTCGGCAAGTGAGAGCGAGTCTTCTTTCTCGCGCGATGTATCTTAGGTCATACATCACAGGACCATCTGCATTTGCCCACGACCACGTTGGAGCTAAGTATGTCGTTGCCGTAAAGCGGTCAAATCTGAACCGGGAATCGATGTCCGGTACCCAGCACAACTGCCTGTGGAGGTCCTTCCTCCAGAGTCCGGCGACATACTCATCACCCGTAGCATCTCGCATTTTATTGGCCAGTCCGGTCAGAGCAATAAACTTATCGGAGTTTCGTGAGAACTCACAGTCAGAATATTGGCCGACCAGTGCCGACCAGGCCTGACGCAGCTTTGACTTATCTTCGAAGTCCAGACTGTGGTGTCCCCCAGGTGTGGTATCTTGGTTCAGGGTTGTAAGATCCCAGAGCTCATCTGGAACTCCCTTCGGAAAATGCTCTGAAGCGATCAATTCATCACACTCCCAGTAAACCTCCTTACGGCTGAAGTTGAATTGTCTTCTTGATAAGAAGCGTTCCTGAGTGACCCAACCCCTGCTGTTCAGTGGCGCGCTCGTCACGTCATCCAAGTAACTATCTATGGCTAGCATATGGTGGTCAATCAATTGTCCTTCCTGGGACGGGAGCTTAATAATTGCTGAGTTGATAGAGGATGGCTCCCTTCTGATGAAACAACCTTCCGAGCCATCTCTTGCCCAAGTTGCCGCAATAGTACAAGCTGAATGCTCATAAATAGATCCCATGACGCTGGATTGACTTTTCCAATCCAGCTCATCATCTTGCACAATACACAAGGAGTCGATCCAAAGGTATCGGAATCCTAGCGTAAGTGTTACAGAAAAGGCATCTTGATAGGTTTTAGGTAAAAAAGATGCAGTATGAAAATGATAGTAAGTATCGTCGCCTCTCATAAGCCGTACTGGTTGTGCTGTTCCCCAGCAATGACTCAGTGTTAGATAAGGCACTGGGCCAAGGATACAGCCCCTGACCAGCCTCCACGCATACTCCTTGTTAGTTTCTCCTTCCCATACTTCAATCAGTCGGTCAGGCATAAAAGGCCGTAACTGTGCCTGCTTTTCTCTACACTTTTCATGGGATTCCATGCAGGTCCGTAACCATTGACGCCACAGGTCAGGTTGCGCACTCGTTGAGAAAGTGCCGACATCAACCTTTCGATCCATTGCGAAGGCGGGATCTCCGGCTGGGAAAGCTGTGAAACGTGCGTGGATCCATTCTTCCCCCGTTGACCATATCATCCGAAGAGTCATTTCCTCGTCGAGGCGGAACTTGACTCGACTGACTGGAATTTCCCTCGCGGATGGATGCAGATGTTTAGGCGAGGGATCCGAATCCTCGAGGTGCTCCTGGACGAGGCTCCAGAGGTAAGAGCATGTGAAACAATTGGCCTCACTTGCCGCACTGAATTCGGTTGCGGAATTGTGGATAAAGTGTTCACATCGACACTTGGTAACGATTACCAAGGTGATCAGGGTCTCGCATTTTTGGCAGAGCATGTTCGAGGGACCGAGAGGGTTCTCTTTCGACTTCCTAGATGGCGGAAACAAAGCGCGACATCAGTTTAGCAACAGGGAGTCGCATCCTCTATGAGTTATTAACAAGTCATGTGGCTTGCATCCGAGGGTTGCACTTGATGGTGGCTATGCTGGTTTGGATGCGGGGCTGTGTTGAACTCGTGCTGCTTGGCCGAATCCTTAATCACAATCCTACCTCATCAAGCATCTACTAACCGACTTCAATACCATAAGAGTTAAATCATAATCAAGTTCAGAAATGTTCCTTGTTGAAAAATGATGGGATTCGATTCATGGAGAGCCATCAGGTAATTCTCTTCGCTGGCCCTGTTGCAACGCGGAATTGTCATGAGTGAGTCTCATCGATTTATGTGACACGTTTCCCATGGCATTCTGCGTAGAAAATCTCAAGAGTGTGCCTGAAAGCATGCTGAGTGGACACTACTAGGCAACCTCAGCAGGCAGATTTCCAGATGTCTTTACACTCACACTTTCCAACAAAACGAGTAGTAGGGAAACTATGCAATCTTTGAAATTGCTGACTTAGATAAAATTAATATGATGAGGTCAACAATAATATCTAATTAAGGTCACTCTTACTCATCGTCTGGTTCCTTAGCAGACATAAGAAAGCCGTACTAAACTATATCCAGAATTTTATGAGAAAGTTGTGCCGCGTCTGTCACACTAGAAGAGTGGTATAATCGACCATCAGGGGTTTCTGAGATATTCATCAATCGTCTAGAATCTGCGTACATTCTACCATGCGTCAATGTTCGCTCTCCCTCTGCAGTATGCTCTGAAACTGGGTGATTTCTACGATGAGCCTAGGGGTGCCAAACCATATTATCGAGATTTAGTCCCTTGCCCTCCCAGGATACTCCGCTTTGGAACCTGAGCGGAAGAGGATTGCCCTTCTGCTTAGACTCTTCAACCCTTTATCTGACAAGATAAGTCTGAATATTCTCCCAAAGTGCTGAACCATGAACCATGAACCGCAAAGCAACTATCGCGAGTCCAATACACCAAAATAGGCTTGATCAGCTTATTCGTATATGGCGGGAACAATTAAGCTGCATATCGTGTAGTATTTCTTACGGCATGACCTTTGGTATTTCCTCAATATCATTACGGTCAAGACCTGCCAGTGCAAAATAAATCCGAACCTAGAAGCTCGTGAAAGCAATAATTACATGCCGTCATGCAAGTTGAAGTACTTTCGGTATCTCTTCAGAGCTCTTTGGAGCAGGCAGCCCAATCTGAAAACAGCAGAGTGTAAGACTGACTCATGATGCATCTCTTCACAGTAGTTGATTTCTTGGCATCGGCATTTCCTTGCCGCAGCTACAAGCTCATCATCACAACCATATTGTGATAGCGTTCTTGAAATTCATATTTGGCTCATGGCTTGCTATAAATTAACCAGTTCCCCATTTCGTTTGAGCACCAGATCGAACACAGTCGGATAACAAGCAACACAGAAGCATCCATCCTTGAGTCCACCGATAGCAACGCTCCGCACACACATTTTTATTACTCACTATTCAAAATGCGTTTCATTCAAGACCTTCTTGCCTTTGGCTCTCTGTTTGCTTTCGGCATTACCGAAGCCTGTGCCGGAGCGAAGCCAGCCATAAACAGCGACTACACTATCACTGTAAACCTCTTTGGAGATAACGCCTGTTGCTCGGCTGCTTTTGGGAAAACTGTCATGGGCAACTTGGGAACATGTCATACTGCCAGCCAGCCTTTTGGAAGCATTACCGAGGCTGTCGGACAGGGTATGTTCGGCCGCAACATCAAGGTGTGGGTTTGGGCCGATTCCTCCTGCAGTGGCAACGCTGTATATTGGGATATCAGCAACCAGCCCTCGTGCTTCGTCAGTACCTATCCGGCCTCGTTCCGCAGCTTTAAAATCGATGTTCTTGTAAGACATAAACTACCCCCAGACTCATAGCAGTCATTAGCTCCCTATTCTAGATCCCAAGCTTACGCAATATCAGGGGACCGCAAAGGAGCTGCAGAGTGCGGAGAACGAAGAGGAAAGCGCTGTCCCAGTCCTTCACCAGCTTCCCGCATCGGCATGATAAGGGATCGTCTTAGCACTATAGCTCGGAGAATAGAATACCTTTCAATTCCGGAGTACTTTTGTTCTCCTTGCCCATGGGCTGATACAGAGAGGTTCAACACCCTGCAAACATGGGATTCGGGACAGCTGTTTTCAACAAGTTAGCTTGATGGAGTGCCAAATACAGAGGATTCATTATCAAACAGACGCCGAGTATCCAAGAGTAGCATCAATGAACAAAGTGTGTTTCAATATGTAGAAATGATACGCTTACTATGACTAAAATGCAGTGATGAGCAATCAGAGTGACTCTTTGCAAGGAAACCAAATCCGAAACGAGATAATTTTGTTGCACTCTCCAATACGTAAGTTCAATCATCTACTTGCTGCGAATGAGTTTTGCTTCCTGCTGTCAGCTCTATTCACCATATAGGGAGCCGGGATGGGTGCCAGCCTCGCACTGTAACCATAACTTCCGGAGTGTTGTGTGGAGTCGTGCGTAAATGATGCCGGCTACATGTTCCAGTGGCCCGAGTGAAGTCTGGACTGGTCTGCAGATGACCGATGGCTTATTCGGGGAGAGATATTATTGACCCTTCAATGTCCTCAGCCACAGGAACACCACGACGCTGTCTTCAACGCCTCGTACGAGTCAGGTTTTCCTTTTTTTCCTTTATATATATCTTAACTTACAGATGGACAATTCAACCTCAATGAAAGGGTCCCGGAGATCATGCCATAAAGTGTTGCTCTCATTTCATTCGAATATGGGATGGATGGGGTTGGAGAGCTTTTGTTTGAGAAACTTAGATTGTTCAAATGAAATGCGGTGAGCATACATGTTTGATGGGTAGATATTTCTCCGTCTTACAGCCACCCAGAAGAATGTGTTACGAATTCCAATTCCCTCTTTTCGAGCTTAGCCATCCACCCTTATCCACTTCAATCTATCAAGGCATATTAACCATTTTACTACGGTCCCTCATTCCAAAAGTCCCTTACCATCACTGCATGATGGATTTAATGAATTTTCTCGCCGAACAATTGAGCAAAGTATCGGAGTCCACGAATAGTGGTATTCGCTTCGTTTCTTACTAATCTCACCTACCTCAGCCATTTACGAGCTGTGTGCTGACTGCACAACAAGCTATACCTCGGACTGCTGAATATTAGTAGTTAATGGATGTGATTATTCCCGATTGTGGAAAGCTGTGGGAAATGGTCTGATTTAATTTGATTCTCATTTGGCAAGTTTTGTTTATTAGCATCGCCTACTGACTACAGTATAGGGTAGCTGATGTCCCACGTATTGCCAAGCCCACCTGGTCGCTTCCATGCTGACACAAGATTTTGATTCAGCTACTTCAGGCTAGGGCTATGTAAAAGCGCTGATCCGAACGTCTCGGAGACCCGGAGCCGAATGTCCGAAATGATAAATCGTTACTCCGTCCGGTCGTGCATCCGAACATGTCTGGTTTCGTGGTCTAACGGTCATGACTACAGGTTCTGATCCTGTCAGCGAGGGTTCGACTCCCTCCGAGACCTCTCTTTTTGCTTTTTGTATGAACCCGCACAGCTCCCACCGTGGGGATATAAACATTAACAACTTTTTTATTTGTGACCTCGTTGGAAGATTGAGGCCTATGAAACTTGAACGCTCCAGAGACTGCCGCGCTGCCTAGCCCAATGCCCCAAATGATGTCCCGGTTGCTTTCAAAAAGGAACTTGTTCGTGAACCATTTCCATATTTCGTTCTAGTTTTCGAGCGATATCATATTTACCCAAATAGTTGGGGGATATTTCATATTCATCTATTAAGTGACATTGATATCGTGACGAAAGAGTGAATCGACTGTATTCTTGTGTGTCGCGATTTCGACTATTTGGTTTGCTTGGGGTAAAGAAGTTTCTTAGTTCTCAAACAGTGCAGCATTGTGATAAAGACACCAGCCCACACAATAACTAGAACCACAGTCAAAACACAAGCACAAATGTGGATACCCTTGCTATCGAAGACCTTGCTCATGGTTTGAGTAGCCGTAACCTACAAGAAGACAGATACTGCTCGTCAGTACGGTAAATGGGGTTAGGCGTATAGGTGTAATGGCGGGTCACGTACAAGTGCGGTGTTGGGAAACACAAACGACCACCATGTCATTTGGAATGGAATGGAGCTTCCCGTGCGGACATACTTCCACAGGGAGCCAAGCGAGACAAGAAAGAACCATATGGAGAGACCCCAAAACCAAAGGCCAACCAAAACAGATAAGACTTTGAAAATATCCACGGTGATCTCAGACCCTAAGAAATTTGGGGGGACGATGAGGTTGGCTTGCTGTCCGAGTTGCACTAATAAAGATGAGCGGAATGAACCAACAGAATACGTGAAAGCTATGCAAGGGTTGTCACTTTACCTATTCCAGCAGCAGTGAAGCCATATGGACCAATTGATATGAACTAAGACGCTGGAGTATTAGCAGTTGAGCAGAGGATAACGCAGCTAGCATCGAAGTACTCACAACACCAGGCCGCTGTATGTCTCGAGGTAGCTTCTGAGTCATCAATCTGTAAATAAAGGCAGCAGATATCATAAAGGCTATTAAGCATCCTGTTCCCTGTAGAGTGACGGCGCACATAGCAACTGCAGGCTTGTTCAGTACCCATAAGTTGCCAGAACGTTCGGCAGCGGCGATCAGGTTTGCCGCGAATGGTGCAATCACAAGAAGAGGGTATGCCGGAAAGACCCACGTAGGAGTCATCGTATGGACTGGGAACACTCTATTTTATAAGGGTTAGCATATGGGCATGCTCTGAGGCACGGCTCACCAGGCGAGGGGAATGCTTCACTGTGTCGACCACAAAATTAAATACATCCCAGCGCTAGCAAGGACGCTCAACGCGACGTAAAACCAAAATAGAACCTGCAAGGTTTTAAAAAGCCAAAAGCCCGAATGCTCAACACCATACTGACAGGTGTTGGTCAAGATAATTGCAATGCTGCAGAAGATTACGACACATCAGTCATTGTCCACTCATGGCTGAAGGAACGCGTGTGACTCACGATACGAACTAAAAGAGCTAAGCATTTTTGAACATAGTAGTGAGGGAGGGATATATACTCACAAATGCGGGAATGAACAAGCATTCAAATTGATCAGTAAAGGATTTTATAAAGCTGCCGCGCATGAGGTGAAAGCGAACGCTTATACAGACACAGTTGTTTAAAAACAAAATAATGTTCAGCAGATAAAAGAAAAGCCCAAAGCCATTCGCCCAGGCGGAGTTGTATCCCACTATCCCAAAACTGTTACTTCTCAAATATATTAGATAGATGGCAAGGGGGAAAGCACGTACAGCCATATATGACGTTCGCAACACCGCCAGTTGCCATAGTCTACGATGTCAGTGAGTAACCTAGACTGCTAGACACAGGCCGGAACGGAGCTGAAATAACCGCACCATTGTAAAATAAGTCCATTGATAACATTTAATACGATCTTTAATAGACACCTTGGAGTTTGGTGGTATCTTTTCGGCCGTGGCGACCACATCGTCCAGAGCAGCGAGGCTCGCACCGAGAACGTGAGGATCAGGTGGCAGGGCGGCAACATATGACGGTCGAGAGAGAAGTGTCGGCCGAGAGCGAACATGGATTTGAGAGACTGGCGTCATGGTCCCTGGAGCTGTTGCGAAATATTCGAGATAGTTCTCCTCGGTCGGGGACTCGTAGCCGTGCCCCGGGCCAGGAGGAGATGCTGTCCCCGCACCACCCCGGATAACCGGTAGAGGGAGTGCCATCTTACGCCGATCGGACGGATACGCAATTGGGAGTTCCAGTAGCAGGATGTCTTAATTTCTGATCATCTAAATGAGGGCATCGGTGTGCCAGCATCAAGCCGCTAGAAGAATGGCATAAAAAGTCTCAACGGCGATGGGTGGGCCGGATCGGCTTGCCGGCTCGTGGAAATCTCCCATAAACACGCACGCTAAGCAGGCAAGGCATGACATCATCAAATGCTGACTCACGAAGGAGGAGTTGTCGGATATCGGACTGGTGGAAACGGCATTCGAGAGTATCATTTCCGAGAGTTGTGGTAAAATACCATCTGACGCAAAAGGACCGGAATCTACCTAAGGGAACAGATACGATAAGATACTCCAAGCGCAGACAATCTATGCAAAAAGCCTTGGGCGTGCATGACAAGTACAATTTATGATTTGAACCAATTCCACACCCTGTATCAGACCTCACAACAAATGGTCATTAAGGCGCGTTCGAAACATAATCAAACCCTCGCATCGGTCTATCATCCCGTAATAAATCCGGCCGAACTAGGATGGAAAGGTCTATAGTGCAGATGGCGTCGGGAACTCGCCGTTGGAGACTACACTAGGCTGTAATAACATTCCAGTCGTAGAACCATTGTTGGACCGGAGCGGTGGTCTCAGCCGCATGGATATCCTAGGGAATATCGTGCTAAGGCGTCAAAAAAGGTTGGAATATCATGAACTGATGCTCAATCACCTCATCAACTATTCAAGCGATTCATTTCTCAGTACTAAGAATCACGTTGGAGAATCAGTACTTTATCTGGATTGCCGAAGTGGACTGATATCTACAAATCGCGAGCTTCTCTAAAGGGGCTGTTTTGACATAAACCAACAAGCAGATCGAGGGGCAACAGTTCTTCATTGTGCAGCTGAAGCACCGAGGAACGGTGTTGAACTGACAGAGCTGCTTCTTGACAGCCAGGGTTTACGCTTGAGAAAGCCCCCGGCCCACAAACAGAAGCTCCGTTTAACCGAGCTCTCAGTGTCAGACAGGCAGAAACAGTGTGGTTCTGGGTAGACAAATGAACCTTCCATTACCAAGGCCTTCTTTTAGGAGTTACCTTGGGGTGTGACACATGGTTGCCTTAAATGGTACATATGAACTCCCGCCAGACAAGATTTACTAACGTTAGTAGGTAGATTACTACAATGTTGATCCTTCAATACGAGCGTTAAAATCTATTAGTGACGTTACCGATATTCGCGGGGGCCATAACAAGGGTCTCTTAGATATCACGAGGAGAAAATACTCGAGCTCAGAAACTCCATTGGCTCTGGCAACTATGGGAGGCGACGCTGAGGCCGTCCAGATCTTGGTTGAGAAGTACGGAGCTTATATTCATGGAGAGTGTCACCATTACGAGGGCGCGACATCCTTGCACGTCGCTGCTCAATGTTGTTGGGCAGACATGGTATGGTACATTCAATGTTATCTGATCAAGCATTGCAAAGGCACTTGATAGGGATAGAGCACCACCCCACGCTCTAGTGGTTTAAGCCCCTACAGCATGCGAAGAAGCTCAAATGTGGGATGCAGTAAGAACATTGCTATGGTTTGGAGCTGATGTACTTACAACAGCTACCATCGACGACCTCAGAGAAATCTCTTTTAATACCAAACCAGAAGACGCGGTGGTACGCCTAGCGCCGTAGACAATTTTCGATGAAACTTTTGCTGAGGTCAAGCAGTCATGATATTATGGTTCAATATCAAGGAATTCCATTTTGACAATTTGATGGTAGTTTAAAGCTATGATGGGGCCAGCGATCGATCCCTCGATTTACCATCTTCTGGCCCTCTACTTTACCATCTCATTCCTTGAATTTACTGCCTCCAGTCGATTGTGCCTCGCGATCCGAATTTGACTACCCGAAATATCTCAACACAAAAAGAGCTGCCCAGTATTACCTAACTCCGTGAGAGTGAGTAGCGAGAATGGTCGTTACATACTAGAGCTCAAAGGGGAAGCAGAATATGATACGTTGCGCAAGTAGGCTGACGTCAAAACCACCCCTTACCCGTGGCTCTCGTAGTTTGAGACGGCAGGTCGGGTTCAAAAGCCCCAGCTGTTGCAACCTGTCCTCATGGAACAGGAAGTCCCGAAGATCGGCAGCACTGGTGCTCGAGCCATCAATGTAACCTTCCTGCACGTGCCACTTTATCCAAGGCATCCCGTTCTCGCAGCAGCCTAAAGCGGTATTTATGCATCGTAGCTATGCTGAACTCCCCATAGGCCAATGGAACCTTCTGCTTTGGCGCCCGTTTGACGAAGGTCTTGTGGGGAAGAAAGAGTCGTATGCCTCTTATCAATGAAGGCTCCAAAGTACTTTTTCTCCTCTTTTCCCTTCATGTCATTCTGGGAACCAGTTCTGAGTGATTGTCTGTACGCGCCATCGGCACGACTAAATAATAAAATAAGTTGTGACGTAGAGCGAGAACGCTCCAGGATGCAGAGTAGATGATGATATATCTCCATGTTTGGCTCTCGCGGAAGACGTTCGTTGGTGAGGGTGTGACCTTGCATGCTAAGGCGAGCAGCTTTCCAAACCATGGTCACACCACCCACCCCTGCTCTCCTCTCACGCCGATCATGCTTGTATGGTACCATTCGAGGCCCTGCGGCCTAGCGAGAAATGGCAGGTCAGAGATTTGGCGCGAGTTACAGGACCAGAAACCAAGAACTTGATAAAAATCCCACACCGCATAGCAACGTAGTTATCGAATTGTTTAAACACCTGCTTGAATTATGCAAACCTTACTTTGTCTAGATAGTTTTTGAAGCACATGAACACCAGCTGACGCCACGCCACGTACTACCCCTCCTCACGGAGAGGTTGCTCCCGGGATGTTGTATCGGCTGGGTATCTGGAAGATGGGGGTGAGGGGTAACCAAGGTAACAACGAATCGCGGGACGATGGGTCCGGAACAACAGCTTCCTTGCACGTAACTGCGAGGCCTGAAACGGAGCTTAGGGCTAGATTTGCCGTGAAGTGCGGGATAGCGGAACATCACGCCAACCTCCTTGTGTGCTGCTTGGGAGAATTTGAGATATTAATACACGTTCTCCCACTCTGTGAATCTAAACCAGGCTACCGAACACTCACTCCGCATTTTACGTCTCATTCAAGAATAATCTTGAGGCAAATCCGCTGGCACTACTGATCAAGTGCCCACACATGGATTGGCCTTGGCCAATACTGAGATAGCCTCAGAACGCAAGCCTCTACTCACACCATTAGAATTCCAGCGAGCACGCGACAGCCACAATGGAGTTCATGGGTATTTCCACTCCCGGGATGTATTATCCCATGGTTAGGTCGAAGTCGGCGCGGCAATCTAAATCCAAGGAGCTTGTAGCAACAGAGCCGATCGTGGTGGATGAGGAGCAGGCTGATCCTAACGGGTTTGTTGCGGGACTACCGTAAGCCATTGCCTTCCCTGTGTGCTGCATTCGATTTATTGTAGAAATCATTACTATTCCTATTGTTCTGTCTTGTCTTCATCGTCCGTATGTGATTGAATGCTCACCGTAGCTCTATAGGTATCACCTTATAGGCGTGAATACGACCGAGATAACACCACCCAGTGAGAGCACTAGTTATATCAGTCGCCACAAACACACCTTCAGTAATGTCTCCTCAGCTTCGAATACCTCATCGGCTTCAAATGACTCCTCGGCAACGTATGACTCTATAAGCTCAACTACGTCTTCAGTATCAAGCGTTGCCCCGGTATCAGAAGGATCAACATCAAGCCGATACAGCTCAGAGCAGGTTGAAGATTTAAAGACAAACTCAACTACTTCATCCGCGCTGAGCAGTTCATCAGTCTCACTGGCCGAAGATCTCTCGTCTTCTTGGCCTTTACCCGACAATGCAGACAGCAATCCAGAGGAGTCGGGCACATCACCCGACAGCACTCTGCTCGTGAGAAGCCCCAGCAGACGGCTGAGTGTTGCCGCTTCATCTACTCGGTACAGAAGATTTTCTTCCTCCGCAAGCAGCCTTATTAGTATGAGCGAGCTGAGCCTATGTGAAGCGCCGCTGAACATTGTCCCCAAAACACCACCGTTCCCAGCTCGATCCTCGAGCTTGAGAAGCAATTCACGGCCAAGCTCCAGATCATCCACACTGAACTCGGAATGCTCGTCGCTACCGTCTCGCTCCTATTCGGCACGTAAGACTGTGGCTTTTGCTTCAGTAAAGCCTCTTGTGCCTCTAATTGAGGAGCGTGTTCAGGATGTGCGACGGTCCTACGAGCCTCAGTCACCAGAGTCAATAACTGAAGCGCTGCGGGACTATGAGCTCGAGGCCTCCAAATCAGAGCCGCCAACAAGACCCCCGCGACCTGAACGAGGTCTTGATCTTTGCGTAAAGGCCATTTACCGCAAAGAACTTCACACGTTCCAGAAACGAAAGGCAGAACCAATTAGCGCTATTGACATGTCGAAATTGGGAACCACCGTCGTCGCGAAACAGGGCAAGAATGTCCTTCACTTCTGGGACATGGAATATGATGCCCTACGCTTCACGATCAAAATCCCAGATTTATTCCATGCCACCAACAAATATTGCAAGGTTCCCATTCACAACCATGTTATCCTCTCAGATAAGGCAAAGCTCATCGCTACCAGCACGCGGCTCGGCAATACCATTGAGATCTGGAACTGGGCCAAGAAGAAGAAGCTTCAACGCATCGATCAAGCAGATCGGTGGGTAGCAGCTCGTTTCGAGACCCTTGAGGATGGCTGGAGCCCTCTGGCGACCTTCAGGGCCCATGAGAACGCGATTGACTTGTACGCGGCTACGGACAGGCAGAAGAAGCCTTTCGCCAAAGTACGCAGTATCAACGTCTGCAAAGCGGGACTTCCTCTACTCCTGGATAATCCGCAACTTGCGCTCTCGCAATCCTCGTCAGTTCTTGTAGCAGCCACTGGCCCGCGAGCTCCAAAGCTTGGCCAAGCAC